TAGCATACAATACATGACATGGTGCACTGCGCGGCGCCGCGTGCAGTGCCGCTGGGCAGGGCGGGGCGGGGCGGGGCGTGTGTGTCTGCATGTCTTCCCACCTGTCGATGGATGCGATGCCTTAAGGCCCGTTCTCGGGCCGTTGTTGGTTTTTCTGCACACTAGGTACGTGTGAGTGAGCAGCTGTCTGTCTGTGTGTCCTTCGGTGAGTGTCCTTCGGTGAACTGTGTGTGGGTCGATAGCCATTCATTAGCGACCTGTGACGTGTGACGTGTGGATAAATGGAGGGCTCCGAAATCCATGTCGGAGGTGCATTTGTGTGTGTGTGTGTGTGTGGATGTGTGTGTGTGTGCTGACTGGTGCGGCAGACGCCCGGCACAGAGATGAATGAAGGTGTGGCTGGATGGGATGCCTTACTGATGCATCAGTCAAATGTCGTTGAGATATATAAAGGGATTCACACACACACACACATGGATGCAGTCGGGTCTGCCGTCGTTTCGTTCTAAAGTACACACGTCACGTCGAGTGGGTGGGAATGGAAACACCTCACTCATCGAATCAAACAAACCAGTCACTGCCACACGTCCCGTCTCTCTCTCTCTCGCCTCTGTCTGCACAACCACACTCCGTGCATCGCCCTGTCCACCTCTCTGTGTGTGTTGGCCGGGAGCTCCCCATGACATGACCGCTAGCGCTAGGTAGAGGTGTCCATGGGTGCGGGTCGGTTGCCACCACCAGCAGGAGCAGCAGCGGCAGCAGCAGCAGCGGGTGGGTCGGTGGCCATTGCGGTGACGCCGTTGGTCATGATGGACGAGGCGGCGGCCGTCGACACGTCGCTGCGGTGACGGCCGCACTGGCCGGGCGATGAGCGGAGGGCCTGGTTGAACAGCAGATCCTGCACACGCACCCATACAGACCGACCGACATAGAGCTCACACATGAATGATCAGCAGAGCAGTCCCTTGTGGCGTGTGTGTTGGTATAGATCTGACTGCGCTGTGTGTGTGTTGTGTGTGACGACTTGCCTTGATGACTTGGTTGGCGAGTCCCTTGAGCTGCTCAGACGACGCACGGGCACTGCAGACAGACACACGCACAGAGAGGGAGACAGGCAGGCAGGGACACACACATCCCTGATGTCAGGTGCGTGTCCATCCATCCGTCCACTCATTGATGTGTCCACCCACGCACGTACCTGAGCTTGGCGACTTCTGTGAGGTCGGCCTCGCCCTGATTCTTCTTGCTGCCGCTACCACCCATAATCTGACCACCGTACCTTTACACACACACACAACACACGCACACACCGCGGTGTGCCGGTCGGTCGGGTACATCACGTGTGTGGCTGTGCTGGCTGAGCTGACTGTTTGCTTGAGAGTGTGGTCTCCGCTTTGGCGAGTTTGTCGGCCACGTCCTGCACCAACGAGTTGTAGTACTCCTTGTTCTGACACACACACACACACACACACACACACGTGGGAGGCCTTGTGATATGGTAAACTTGGCTGTGTGATATGGATGGTTTGGCTGTGTGTGGGTGTGTCGGTGTGTTGGTGTGGGTACAGTACGTTGAGCAGCGGCGAGGATGCGAGTGTGGAGGCCCAGTAGTTGGACCACAGCAGGTCCAGCAGCTTGGCGTCCAGAGACGACTTGAACACCTCTATCTGCAACGGGTAATACCTACCACACAACCAACACACACCACAACACACACACACACCGATGTGTTGTGTGTCAGCCTCTCTGTCTGTCTGTCTGCCTCACTGACTGCACTGCACCATCAATCATTGTCTGTCCACCTACGTACTTACTGTTTCCAGTGCAGTCCGAAGTCTTCGATTTTGTGCAGCGGGATGGGCTGGAAATCGCTGGGCCCGTCCTCCGGCGGCGTGTATCCACTCGGGTAGCAGCGGAACGCACCAATCTATATTGGTTGACACACACGCCAGCCACACGACCACACAGACAGAGAAGGGCAACCACACCAATGTGTGATTCGGTGTCTGTCTGTCTGACGTCCACTGCGCCCGAAGCGCATGTTCGAATGGGATCCACCTGACATGACCACACACAACACAACAAAACACGCCACACGTGAGCATCAGTGTGGCTTCTCTTGCGCGTGTGTGTTTGTCTGTTTGTGGTTTGCTGGATGCTGACCACGACAGCGACGAATGGCTCCTGGTGCTGCTGGTAGAGCATCTGGGTCTGACAGTCGATGCCGCTCAGCCAACACCCATACCTACACACACCACAGGCATCACACAGTGGTTGGTGGTGGTGGTGGTGGTGTCGCCTCTTCCTCTCCTCCCTGTGTGTGTGTGTGTGTCTGTGTGTGTGTGATGGTTGGCCAAGTACCCAGGGTGGCTGTGGTACCAGCCCACTATGTTCTCCATGCGACCAACCTGACACACACACACACACACACACACACACACACAGAGAGAGAGAGAGAGAGAGAGAAAGGCAGCATTACCCGGACAGACACGTGCATACCAGTGCTCCCCCCCACTGTGCAGTGAGTGCTTCTCATGATCCAGGTTAGGTTACCATTTCCGAGACCTCTTGATAGTTGACCATGTACTCGTTGGCACCAGCGCCGGCATTCACACGAGTCTCAGTGCCCTGCAAGCAATCAGCAAGCCTCGTGATGTGTGTGTAGATGGGTGGGTGGCCTTGGGGGTGCTGTGCTTGGTTACTTCGACGGGAAGTGCGAATGCGTCCATGATGACGAATGCGTCTTTGATGATCTTGCCCTGCATCAGACCCATAATCTCCAGACGACCGCCGCTCCGGGCATGCATCACCTGCACACAACACACAACACACACAGATGTCAGGAGCGTCCCCATTCCCTCTTTGTAGGTGCCGACCATCTTGATCAGGGCGACAGCCGTGATGCGGCACTTCTTGAAATACAGCACACTGACACAAACACGCACACACACGCATCACAGATCTCCCATCACCTGCAAGCAGGCAGCCCGCCTCGCTCCTGTGGCCTCACTGACTCACTCGTTGGTCCATGGCCTGTTGTTGAGAATGTTCTCCTGCTCGACCGCATCGTATTTGTAGACCGAGTCGTCCTCCTTGACGCTGTTGTTCAACTCCCACTGCTTCATCGCCGTCTGTCCGGACGGCACCGACGCGGATGCCGACGAAGATGAGGCACCCGCCGACATACCGCCAGGCACACTCACACGGTCCATTGCGCAATGGGAATGGAAGACGTTAGGCGAATGGAAAGGGATGAGATCTTCAAAAGCTCGCAACAACCTCGCGGTCGTTGTGGTCGTAGAGCACCAGAGGATTGCGCATCATGGTAAGCCGAAGTCATCTGTGGTGCAGATCTATCTCATTTCGTGTCGCAATTCATTTCATTCAGCAGATAGATCTGCGCCACGAGATGGACGAGTAGTGTGGTGTGATAGCGGCAGCGGGACCATTGAGCACCGAGGTGGAGGGCCGCGAGCACACAAGAAGGTCAGAAGGATGAAGGAGAGCAGCCATGAAGAGTTCTGCACATTGGGTGTGTGTGTGTGTTTGTTCCTCGCAGCTGTGAGGCAATGGACTCGGCGGGCTGCACATCGCCCCAAGCAGTGCTGGCCAAGGCGAGCAGCCTCGTCGATGCCATCCAAACCAAAGAGGGATACGACCAGGCCGTCCAGCAGCGAGGGCTGGATGTCGTCGAGGCCGAGATCACCGCCGTCATGGCCGACATCTGCCAGCTCATGGCGTCAAGCAGCCCCCTTCGGCTTGACGCCATGCTGCAGCTGAATCGGCTGCTGCCCATCAAGCACATCGATCGTTTCGCCAAGGCCATCGGTGTCGGTGTGCTGCCCGCGGCCGTCGAGCAGCTGAGCGGGCGCCACGAGATGGAGAGTGGAGCAGCAGCCTGGCTGCTCGGCATGCTGGCGGTGAACCATGCCGCTGCGGTGGCCGATGCTGGTGCCGTCCCGCCCCTGGTGCAGCTCGTGTCGTCACGGACCGACCGTGTGTGTAAGGGGGCGATGGGGGCGCTGCGCATGATCATGGCGGGGTCGGTGGACCGTCGCGATGCCGTGGTGGCGGCGGGCGTCCTGCAGCCCCTGCTGACGGTGGTGCGTGAGGCCGCCAGCACCGAGGTGATGGCCGTGGGTCTCTGCCTGCTGTGCGATGTGTGGGCTGTCACCGAGAGCCCGCCCCTCCCCGCCCCACTCGCCGAGTTCGCCCCCTTCCTGCCGGTGCTGGTTAGCCTGATCGCCGCACCTCAGCAGGATGATGGTGTGCTGGAGCCCGCACGAGTGGCCCTGGCGCACTTCGCCACTTGGTGCGACGAGCAAGACGGTCAGTCGATCAAGCCATCAGTATCCCTTCTAAAGAGCCTGGGGGGAAGATCGTCTTGTTTGTCCATTATATGGCTGATCGGTCGCTCAGGTACCGATGGTGACCGTGATGCGTTGGTCGAGTGTGGCGCCGTGGGATCGCTGAAGACGATGGCTGCGGTGGGGGCCGGGCGGGGTGCGCATGAAGTTGCGGGCCTGATCGTCATCTTTATCGCTGCGGGTGGAACACACCATCACACACACTCACACACCGCAACAAGGACGTCATGAGTGGGGCGGTGTTTGTGTGTGGATTCGTTGGATGCAGGTAGCCCTGCCCACGTGCAGGCGGTCATCGATGGTGATTTGGTGCCTCTGCTGATCAGCATGGCGGTCAGCGAGGAGAGCCATCCCCAAGTGAAGGTCATAGCAGCAGGGGCCGTCGGAAATGTAGCCCACGGGTCGCAGCAACAGGTGTGTTTGTAGGCCACAGGCGACAAGCTTGTTGATGTGTCACGGCTGTCTGGGTGTGTGTGTCTATTCGTTTGTTCAGGCTGAGTATGTGGTCGAGTGTGGCGGCGTCCAGCCCCTCTGCGACGCACTCGGTGACGACAATGACAATCGGGAGAATACGATCAAGGCGCTGGACAACATACTACGGTAACAGGAGAAGGTCAAAGGACACACACCGCATTTGCCTATCACCTGCTGTGCTGTGCTGTGTGCTGCGTTCGTGTGTGCAGTGCGGGTCGTCAGAAGCAGGCCAACGAGGGTCTCCCCGACAACCCCTACTCCACTCTAGTAGACCAGGTGAGGGAACAAAGAGAGAGAGAGAGAATGAGGACAGTGGACACCATTCACATGGCTGTCCTGTATTACGTTTGACGCAGGCCGGCGGTGTGGACAAGGTAGTCGAGCTGCAGACACATGAAGACGTCGACATCGCAGTGCCGGTAAATCGCCTGCACGGCACACACAAACACACACGTGGCGACAAGGGGCACCGGCATACAACACACTGTCAGTGCGTTGTCCTTCATTCGTTTGCAGGCCGTCATGCTTGTCGCCGACCATTACCCGGACCGCGTCGACCCCCAGGGGCTGCAGGCATTGATGCAGGCGGCCGCTGAGGAGGGCGGCGATGATGAGGATGGCGAGAGCGACGTAGACACCGACGTCAGCGAGGACGACAGCCGTAGCGGTGGGGAGGGGGAGGGGGAGGGGGCGGGCGGCGAGGCATAGAAAGATGGATAGATAGACAGACAGCTCAATCCGTAACGCAAGTATGGAAAAGTGAAGGGCCCTTACGGCGTATGTGTGTGGGTATGTGAGTAGCCGAATGGCATAGATCAATCCATGATGCATTCATAAATGGATGGATGGATGGATGGCCTGTGTATGACTGACTGGTGGGTCGGGGCGTGTGTGTGTATGTGTGTGGGTATGTCGGTAGCCGATTGGGAGGGGGGACTGGCTCTCGGGTGTACAGACAGACAGATAGGCACACTCAACGAAAGATATGTATACGTGTTGTCTGTCACTTGTGTGTATGGGGGACATTGCGCATATCTCAGTTGATACTTGATGAATTCGTTCACGGCACACACGGGAGTACACCGACTCCATCCACATCGCAATGAGAGAGGGGGCTGTACAACCACACAATGATTGAGAATTGAGGCAGGCAGGCAGTCCCCCATTGTCCCCGGCACCCACACCCACAGCCAGGCAAGCCGCAGCAAAACGGACAGATACAATCGACACGTACAGAGTGAGGGAGGGAGGGCCAGATACGCACACAGCTCTGCAGACGGCAACACAGACATAGGCGCCCCCCATCCACAGCCAGCCGCTGGCAGCATCGGTGAGTCACCCACCACTGGCTACGGAGTCAGTGGTATGTGTGCAATCCAGCTACAGCTACAGATAACCTCCTGGACACACACACAGCCACACAGAGGGCACGACATCCATCCATCCATTGGCCCGACAAATCGATTTGTGGCGTACCGGTACTTTGTGTTGGTTGGTCATCCGAGCGATGCAGTGTCGTCAGCGCCGTTCTCCTCCTCAGCTGCGGCGTCCTCGCCTGTCAAATAAACACACACGCACACTCGTGTGTTGCGGATTGCCACCAGATGTGTGTGCCTCTCTTCCTTTGTTGGTACCTCCGCTGCCGTCAGCCATATCGTCACCATCACTGGCGTCTACACCACACACACAGAAGGCCCATCCACCACACACGGTTTCACTCACATGCTTCCGTCTCTTCCCTGGCCGTACCGTCGTCATCGTCGCTGTCATCCTGCTGCTGTTGCTGCTGCTGTGGCACTACTCGTCCGTCGAGCACGAATGGCGCCACACCTGACCCCAGCGCCACACGGGCCAGCTGAGTGGTCACAGGGAGGCGGTCCTTGAAGGCGCCACTCTCACTCACAGGTGCCTCGGTCGTCAGGACACTAACCATCACTGCAGGCAGACAGACGAGATTTAATGACCAAAGCTGCCTGTCTGTCGGCCTGACCGGTCGCGTATCCAATATCCTGAATGGTAATCCACGCGACGAAGCCGTAGCTGCTGTCGGTGAGCACCAGATACCGCAGACGACCATGCCAGCCGTCCCAGCAGGTGAGTGTGGCGGAGCATCCGGCGACTGGTGTGTGGGGCGACTGGGTGAGCAGGTCATCCAGACGGCCGCCGCCAACAAACCTGAAGCAAACACACAGACACAGACACACAATCAAACACGCACCCCTCTCGCCACTGGTGTCATTGGTGTGTTACCTGTTGAGATGTATCGATGTGCGATTGGCCTGGTGAGTCCCGAAGAAGTTGCGGAGGATCTTGTGCTTGGCGAACGACGACACCGACGCATCAATGGTCGGGAAACCGAACGACACCCATCCGCCGCTGTTGCTCCGGTAGTTGATGCAGCTCCGCACTGGTGGGTCATGCTGCTGTCGGTGCTGCTGATACAGATGGTGGTGGGCAGCGAGGGGCGGGTCGACGTCCAGCTCGAAGTCGGGCTGGTCCTTGATGGCCCGCACCTCACCATTGGGATGGCGGCAGATCTGCAAGCGGCTGCCGTCACCGAAGTCGATGTGGCGGCCGACCACCATGAGCTGCGCCAACACACGAGCTAACGATCCATACGCCTACACCACATCACACACAGACAGAGAGGGAGAGAGAGAGAGAGAGAGAGAGAGAGAGACGATGAGGCCTCTCTGTTATCTCTCACCGCCCGTGTGTGTGCCCCTTACCGTCTTGTTGACGTGTCTGTTGATGTCATCTGCGGTGAGGTTGAGGGGCAGCTGACAGAAGCCGCACTCACTGGCCCACTGCAGCACCTCAGCCACCTCGTCCCACTTCTGCTCTTCCACCAGCCACACGGCCGCCAGCAGCTCACGAGGTTCAGACACCGTCTGGGCGTCGAACGTCAGCACCGCGTCCAGCCGGGTGCCGTCAGTGAGGCGAATGCGATGGAGTGAGCGGTTGAGTCGGCTGCGGAGGATCTGGGCGGGGAAGTCGACCTTGCTGAAGAACAGGGCCGACCTCCTGATGTGGCCGAGGTCCTTGACGTTGTGCAGCTCATCGCTGTCGTCCCGATAGACGACGTCGAGCACCTGGCCGTTGATGGCGGGCGACGCCTCGTCGGTGCTCTTGCTGTTGACCGCACCCATCGCTTGTCGCAAAGGCTACCTCCTACGCTACAGGGTTGTCATCATTGAAGCTCGCAATGAATCATGATCGAACTCATTGCTCCCCGAGATGGCGAGAAGAGAAAGGCTCAGCTTCAAGTGCGTGTGAGTGTTGCGAATGCCTGCCAGTGCCATGATGTGTGCGGGATGGCCACTGTGGTTTGAGGTCAAGAAGAAGGAGTGTGTTGAGTGCACACCAATATGGGCAACACATCGCATTCATTCATTCATTCACACACCTGTCAGTCAGTCAGTCCATCAACACAGTCAGGCAGCCAGGCCAATACATTCATATGGACCACAGAGAGAGGGGAGAGCCACACATCGTCGTCGCTACGACCGACATGCCCAGGCCTGCCCACCTGTGACTGAATCAATGAACGCGTCAGTCAGGTGCCACACTCATCCCTGGCCATACTCAGTCAGTCTGTCAGTCAGTGTATGCGGATGTGTACTCACATAATAATAATATATACATATCGGTGTGTACAGAGATCGACGGACACAGAGAGGGGAGAGAGGCAGTCGACGTAAGGCAGTTAGGCAGCAGAGATGGACACAAAGCAAGACATACACACCGCATGCAGCGAGCCGCCCTACCACCCCCATGCACCACCGCCACCACGAGTAATTAAGTCATGAGGGCTGGAGCGTCTCGCTCCAGTGTGTGTGGTGTGGAGGCGTATACACATGACCGAGTGCCATGCAGCAGCCGCGCCCGATGTGAATTTCAGGAAGCCGCCCACAGCCCGAGGGAAACAACAAGTAGGCAAAGACAACTGACTGCATCGGAGCAGCCTGTACGTCTGTTAGGTGTGACGGTGTGAATGGATGGACCACGAGTGCGAGAGAGAGATACACTGCCACGTATGTGTGTGTGCAGCGAACAATGCGGCGCAGATGGATGGCTGGATGGATGGACACACCATACAAGAGTGTGGTGCGTCGATCGGCCTGTCTGTCTGTCTGGGTGAATACATATGCACATGTGTGTACACGTTCACAGAGAGAGAAGATGTCAATCATCAGCCCAAGAAATTAAAGCACCGACCGCCCAGCCATCCAGATGGAGAGGGAGGGGCAAAACAGATAGACACGGCAGCGCAGCCAAGGAGTGTGTGAGTGTGTGTGCATACTCATCAATTTTACGTGTGATGCGTGGATCAACACGCGCATCATTCACCAGACGGACGCGAGAGCGATGCAATGAAACGCATTCACACACACACACACACACACCATGTCTGTCTGTCAGGACGTCAGGACGTCGGCCGTCCACCCAGCCAGGCCAATACATATCGACAGCACACAGGCAGAGAGATAGAGAGAGAGATGGAGGAGGGCCACACACAGAGGGGAGGGGAGGGGAGAGAGAGCGACCCACACACACACCCTCCCACCGGGGGCATTGACACACACACAGCCAGCCATTGGTGGGTCGACATCAGCAGTGATCTACACCGGTCAGCGGGCTACTGAACAGAGAGGATGGCAGACAGCACTCCGCCACCCTCCTGACCACAACACACACACACACACGCACACACACACAGAGGGGCATGGCGCCAGCCGATCACATTGCAGTGTGTCTGTGGCGCACCAGTGAGTATTGAGATCGGTCTCTGTGTGTGTCCTCAGAGCGATGCATTGCCGTCACCGCCGCCGTTTTGATTGTCCTCCTCGGCTGGTGCATCCTCAACTGCCACACAGATCAACACACCCACACACACACACACACACGCATAGCTGTGTGATGGCGACGGGCATTAGGGCGTGTGGTGTGCTGTGTGTGCCTTCCTTCGTGTGCACCTCCGCTGTCGACGTCCATATCGTCCCAGCCACCGCCACGATGGCCGTCTGCACCACACAAAGGGCCCGTCACACACCCACGTCTCTCCTTGCCGCCTCCCTCTGCCTGTCGTACCATCGTCACTGTCGTCATCATAGCTGTCATTGTCTACTCGTCCGTCGAAGACATATGGCGCCCCTGCAGCCAGCTCGCACACACATGTGTTTGACGCGAAGTGCTGTGAGTCTTCTTCTTCGTGTGCACCTCCGCTGCCGTCGTCCATCCCGTCACTCTCATTGCCACCATTGCCGTCTGCACCACACACATAGAGAAGGTCCATTAGCCATCCCTTCACGAGTGTGTGCGTCCCTCCCTCCCTCTGTGAGCACCGCCACCACTGTAGCTGTCGTCGTCGTTGTCGCCGTCACCCTCGTCGTTGTCCTCCTCGGCTGGGGTGGATTGACAAAGGGCATCTGTGTGAACTGTGCTGTGTATCCCTCCCCCTCATGTGTACCTCCGCTGTCCTCTCCGTCGCTGTCGTCATCCATATCATCCCAACCGCCGCCATGGCCGTCGGAATCTACACCACACACAAAGACAGACAGAGATGAAATGCCACACATCCATCGCCACCATGTGTGTGTGTCCCTCTCTCCCCTGTCCGCACCATCATCGTCGTCATTGTCATCGTCTACTTGTCCGTCGAAGACGTATGGCGCCACTCGCCCCAACGCCACGCGGGCCAGTCGAGTGGTCACGGGGAAGCGGTCCTTGAAGGCACCACTCACACCAGCCGCAGGTGCCTCGGTCGTCGCGACACACACATCCACTGCGGACAGACAAGCAGGAAGAAAACGCTGATAACATTTGAACAGCAGAGCTGCCTGTCTGTCGGCCTTACCGGTGCCGTCCCCCCATTCCGAAATGACAATCCACGCGACGAAGTTGTGGCTGCTGTTGGTCAGCACCAGCACACGCACCTCACCGATGCCGTCTTCCCAGCTGCGTGTGGTGGTGCAGCCGGCCACCGGTGTGTGGGGCGACTGGGTGAGGAGGCCATCCAGACGGCCGCCACCAACACGCCTGAAGCAACCACACACACACACAAGCACACACGCACCCCTCTGGCCACTGGTGCCATTGGTGTGGTACCTGTTGAGTGATATCGATGTGCGATTGGTCTGGGGAGTCGAGCAGAAGTGTTGGTTGATCATGCGCTTGGCAAACGACGACAATGACACATAGATGGTCGGGAAACCGGTCGACACCCATCCGCCGGTGCCGCTCCGGTAGAAGATGCTGCTCCGCACTGGTGGGTCATGCTGCTGTCGGTGCTGCTGATACAGATGGTGGGCAGCGAGGGGCGGGTTGATGGCCAGCCGGAAGCCGGGCTGGTCCTTGATGGCCCGCACCTCACCATTGGCGTGGCGGCAGATCTGCAGGCAGCTGCCGTCACCGAGGTCGATGTGGCGGCCGACCACCACCAGCTGCGCTAACACACGAGCTACCGATCCATACGCCTACACCACATCACACACAGACACACACACACACACACACAGACAGACAGAGAGGGAATGAGGCCTCTCTGTTCTCTCCCCGCCCCTCTGTGTGTGTGCCTTACCGTCTTGTTGGCGTGTGTGTTGATGTCATCGGCCGTGAGGTTGACAGGCAGTGTGCAGCAGCCACACTGGCTGGCCCACTGCAGCACCTCCCGCGTCTCATCCCACCGCCCGCCCTCCTCGGCTATCCACACCGCCGCCATGAGCTCACCCATCCCCAGCGATGGGTCGAACCGCACCAGCTGCTGCAGCTGTGGGGTGTTGATGCCATCGCCGTCACGGCTCAGTGAGTTGTCCACTCGGCTGCGCAGCTGGTCTGATGAGAAGGCGTCTCTGATGTCTCGTGCGGCTGCTCTCAGCTGCAGTGTGGTGCTGATGTCGGGGATGCGGCAGCGGTCTTCGGCAAACAGATGGGCGAGGGGGTGCTTCTGGCTGCCCCCCTGCAGATCGCACACACACGTATTACTGACAATGCAGATCGATACACACAGAAGGCACATCTGGTGCATGGCGGTCGGTTGTGTCAGACCCACCTGCTGCTGCTGCTGCTGCTGCTGCTCTTGCTGCGGGTGGCTGCGGGTCGATGCGACGCCGTGGCGGTCGGGCGAGGCGAACAGCTCGTCTACTGCATCGGTCACGATCTGCACACACCACACAAACGACAGACACCGACATCAAGACGGTGCTGTGTTGGCGATTCTACTGGTCTTCTGCCATGCTCACCCCTTTGGTGGTCTGTGTGTCGCCCCACATGAGCCGCTGCATCCTCAACGTCGTCATGCTCGACTCCAAAGCCGACTCGCTGACCGAACTCTCAGCCACAAGGGGCGCACTCTGACAATGAACAACGGGACACACAAACCCACACAGGCCATAGATAGGCCATGACACGTGTCGCTTTGGCTCACCCAAATGCCGCCCGCTATCTGCTTCTGGTTGGTCTTGCGTGTGATGTAGACGGCCGTGGCGGCCAGCAGGTGGACATCGCACGCGGCCAAATCGACGTCACACATCGACAAGAACTGCACAGACAGACAGCAGACAGACAGGGAGAAATTCGATAGCTGGAGGTGTGTGTGTGTGTGTATGTGTATATGTGTGTGTGTGTGTGTGGCTGGCGGACTGACTGACCATGAGGTATTTGGCGAATGAGAACAGGCGGCCGTGGGTGTCCATGCCGGCCGCAGTGAAGAGCCTCTCTACACACTCAACGCCACACTCAGAACTATCAGCCGCCACACGACCCACCACCTGCACACACAGAGTCAAACGGACAGACAGACATGTCGGCGCTGCACAGGTGAGCGTCGTGTGCGTGTCTGTGTCTGTGTCTGTGTCTGTGTTTCAATACCTGTGCCTGCGTGTGTGGGGGGTCAACCGGCATGTCGTCCATCAGCAGGTGTGGCTCCAGCCGCTCGACGCAGGCGGCCACACACGCATCTGCTACCTGTGTGTCAGCAGCCAGCCAAGTGATACAAACGAGTCCCATGAGTCCTCACTCTCTGTCTGTCATTCAGATCTCTTTGCCTGTCTGGCGTTGTTCGGGTCGATGAGTTTATCGGCTCGGCACGCATCCAGCAGCCGCACCGCCCGCATGAGGGTCGCGTCGCGGCAGCCCATCGACGCCGCTCTCTTGACCATCCCGTCCACCAACACGGCTGCAACACATCACAGACAGCACAGCACACCTCTGAGGGCATCTGTGGTGCGCTGTTGTGTGTGCGAGTCGGGCATACCTCTCTGCTGCGGCCATTTCATGCTACCGACCTGTTTGTCAGACAAACCGAACACAGAGCACCTCTTGATTGATCAGTCATCATTCCCTCTCTTTCATTGTATTGCTCACTTCACCGTCACAGCCGCCATGATGCCCTGCGATGGGCCTCAGCGATGAGTTGAAACCATCAGTTTGTGTCTGATGGGGCTCCAGCTGCCCTATGGAAGGCATCACAAGCGCTGGAAGCGACGAAAAGGGCCTAGGATGGATGTGAGCTTGAAAGGGGAGGAAGTGAAGGCGTTTTCGGAAGCTGGCGATGGAGATGTCCTTCCCGTGAGCCGCCAAGACCTCTGCAGAGGCGTGTTGTATTCTCTTTCGGTGTTGAGTGCCTTGCCAGCTGCGGTCCATCTCGCGGCCTGTGGAGGAGATCTCTGTCGGTGAGTGAGCAGCCATGAGCGGGGACCAGAAAGCATCCACGGGCAGCCCTGATCCAATCTGATTTCGTGGTGTCTTTGATTCTGCAGATGTGAGCTGTGACATCTGCACCGGACAGCAGCCGGAGGGCGGGACCAAAGTGAAGGGCCGCCGAGCACTGACTAGGTCAGAAGGACGGCAGAGAGCAGCCGTGGACCAGTCTGCACATTGTGTGTATGTTGGTCTTTGCAGTGTGAGGCAATGGAGGACTGCACAGCCGATGCCGCCTGCACCACAGCTGGCCATCCACCCCCCCAAGCAGTGCTGACCAAGGCGAGGAAGCTCTACAATGCCATCCAAACCAAGGAGGCATACGACGAGGCCGTCCAGCAGCGAGGGCTGGAGTCCGTCGGGGCCGAGATCACCGCCGTCGTGACCGACATCTGCTACCTCATGGCGTCGGCCAGTGATCCGCAGGTTCGGACTGAGGCCGTGCGGCAGCTCGCCGGGCTGCTGTTCATCGAGCATATAGAGGGCATCGGGCAGAAGACTGTGGACATCGGTGTGGTGCCGCTGTTGGTGGAGCAGCTGAGTGAGTGCGAAGATTTGCAGGCCGCAGCAGGACAGGCCCTCAGCGTGCTGGCGATTCAGAATGGCGATGCGGTGGTCAATGCGGGTGCGGTCCCGCCCCTCGTGCAGCTCCTGTCGTCACCCGATGACGATGTGCATGGAAGGGGCATAGCGACGCTGTGCAACGTCACGGCCGGATCGGCGGCCCGTCGCGATGTCGTGGTGGCGGCGGGCATCCTGGAGCCGCTGCTGAAGGTGATGCGTGAGAGCAGCAACGCCGCCATGCTGACCGTGAGTGCCCACCTGCTGCGCAATCTGTGGATTGTCTCCGAGAATGCGCCCCTTCCTGCTCCTCTGGCCGAGTTTGCCCCCTTCCTGCCGCTGCTGATCAACCTGATCGCCGCACCTCAGCAGGATGAGTGTGTGCTGGAGCCCGCACGAGTGGCCTTAGCGGACTTCGCCGGCTGGTGCGCCGAGAAAGACGGTCAGTACACCTGAGTGCCTGAGAGAATGTCCTGAGATGCAGGGTCGGCTTTGTCCTGCCTGCCCACCGTCTCAGGTACGGTTGCTGACCGTGACGCGTTGGTGGAGTGTGGCGCCGTGACTTCGATTAAGACACTGCTGGAGATGGCCGATGACGACTTCACTGTCATGGGGTGCCTGATAGTGCAATTCATCGGTGAAGGTAAGAGAGAATCATCACACACACTCCCTGATTCCGACGACGTCACGTGTGGGGCCGTGGTTGTGTGCGGATTGCTTGGATACAGGTAGCACTGCCCACTTCCAGGCGATCATCGATGCTGACCTGGTGCCGCTGCTGGTCGACCTGGCGGCCGGCGAGGAGACCGATCCCGACTTGAAGGAGATTGCAGTGAAGATCATCGGAAATATAGTCCGAGGAGGTTTGCAGCGACAGGTGCCTCCGCTGACCGCTGACAGCCCCACACTCACGGGCCTGTGTGTGTGTGCATTCCTCGTTCAATCGTGCAATGCAGGTTGAGCATGTGGTCGAGTGCGGCGGCATCCAGCCCCTCTGTTACCTGCTCGACGGCGAGAATGACAATCGACTTACAGCCATGCTCTGGTTGCTGGACAAGATACTAAGGTAGGTCAACAAGCTGCCGCGTGTGTGATACCCGACGTGTGCTGCTTTTGTGTGTGCAGAGCGGGTCGTCAGAAGCAGGAGGGCCTCCCCGACACCCCCTACTGCACGCTGATAGAACAGGTCAGAGGGCGAGAGAGAGAATGATTGGATAGTGGACACCACCATTTACACGGCTGTCCTCTATTACGTTTCACGCAGGCGGGCGGTGTGGACAAAATGGCGGCGCTGCAAACACACAATGACATGGGAGTCGCACTACAGGTAGCCCCACGTGTAGCGGGGATACTACTGTCAGTGTGCCCTTCATTCATTCAGGCGATCGTGTGTCTCATAAGCCACTTCCCTACTCGCGTCGACGCACAGCGATTGGAGGCCTTGATGCAGGCGGGTGTGATCCAGGTGGTGCAGGCCGACGAGGTGGAGACGAATGTGGGGGAGGATGATGACATCGGTAGCGATGGAGACAGCGATGGCGGCGGAGAGGGGAAGGGGGTCGGCCAGCTGGAGGGTGATAGTGGGGGGGAGAGGGCGGAGGGGTAGACAGACGCACACATTTATGAGAGGCTGCATGTCTGCCTTTATGACGGGTTTTCACGTCCATATTGTTTTCCCTCAGGCGAGGTGGCTGGCGTGCTGCAGTAGAATAGCTAGCTGGGTGGGGGTGGGTGGCTTAGCGGTGAGTGGGCGATTGAGTTGACGTTTCGGACCGACACACTTGAAGCTTACGTGTCTCCACACATACACACACATACATCGACACAACTGTGTGTGACGTCCATTCCATAAGTGCACTCACTGCTAGCTACACTCATCGATCAGTTACAATGGGTGATACACATGACCAAACAAACACCGCACACACACCTGAGGTCCGTTACACGCCCCTCGCGGCCCCCCGGCCCGCCCACACTATGAGAGCAAACACGAAAGCACATGCACCACACGCCAAACACGTACAGCCAGCCAGCAAAGAACGACACGCCCACAGACCTCCATCCATTCACAGTCAAGTCATGTCACGACTACTCTAGACACACCAGACACAGATCTGCCATGATACATGGTCGGTCCCGCTGTGCTTACGCGAGGCGTCGTTGCTCTGGGCCGCCTTCCCCATCCCGGCCAGGCCAACGAACAGGATGGCAATGAGTCTGAAACGACGCATCGATATCATCATCGTGCGCGGCTTCGGCAACTTAAGACTCTTTCGGAGAGACGCAGAGAAAGCGAAAAACTTGCCACTTGCTTTTTTGTGTCGAGAAACGCGGCAACACGAGACAGTCTCTTTTCTTCCTTTTTTGGTTAATCGGTTAATCCGTGCAGAATTTCCTCTCGCTTCACCTCGCTCGTGCGCACGACTTGTTCTTTGAGGTAGCTCTGCACATCGGGACCCCAATGCCGTGCTCGCATCGTTCCCATGGTACGAGCAGGAGGAGCTCTACCGCATCGCCAACGGCAAGCCCGTCTTCGACTTCAACTGTGGCCAGTACGCCATCAACAGCCTGTTCGATCGCGAGCAGCTGGGGAACGAGCCGCTCTACCGCCACAGCGAGAGCGGGGGCCGAGTGGAGGACTACGACGTGATAATCAACACCAATATGCACCGATGCATCAACCTCAGCAGTCGCCGGGGCCCCCCACTGCGGGCCATGTGCCTTGCTCAGGTATGGTGGCATCTATGTGGGTCTATGAGGCACAGGCACCTGTGGGTGTTTGGCGTGCATTCAGGTGCGTGGCGAGTCCGTGTTCGAGAGGCTGCAGACCCTCATGGGCATGGGGCGGGGGCGAGTGAGGGGGATCATTCTGACGGAGCAGCTGGACCTCCTCGGTGACGGCCAAACGTACGTACGGCAATCAGCAAGCAACAGACAGACAGACAGACAGACAGACAGACAGAGAGACAGGCACACCCATTCACTGAGTTGCTGGCTGCTGCGTTTGACAGGATTCCCCACTTCGTGCCTGTGCGGCCTCTCGAGCGGGGCTTCTGGGGAGACCTGGACCCCATACGCCACCGAGCCGACTACCGCCTGCTGAACACCCACGAACTCGCCGATCGCCTCCAAAGGGCCGGCCAGCAGTATCTTTTCGGAGAGCAGCGGTACATCGAGGTACACACCCACACAACCAACACATCTCTGTGCGCTGCACGTGCATCAATCATCCTTTTCATTGTATGTATCCTCTGAATCTCAGGGCGTTTTGGTGGTGTTTGAGACGGGGGACGACCTCGCCGCCGCCAGACGCCATGTGCAGCCATTCAACGACGCTGCCGGCGCGTTCCCGGTGGACGACGACTCCGTGCCCCCCAAACCCAACCCAAATGGTGCCGCTGCCGCTGCCGCTGCCGCTCACCCCACACCGAGCCATGGTCGCCGACGCCGTCGGGTGCGACGCGGCCCACCCGCCAACAGGCCACTCGGTGCTGGAGACATCGAGATGACTGATGCCGGGCAACAGAGCGGAAGCGTCAGGGCGGGGAGGGTCACTCTGGCAAGCGGTGCCGGATGTGCGCCGAGATCGAGAACACGATGGAGTGGCGGGGGGCGGCCAGGCATCAGGGGGAGATGAAGGTGTGGAAGAACGGCACGGAAGACGCAGAGCGCACTTACCCCTTCCGCCGCACTCCAGCACGTGTGGCGCGCAACTAGCCCACACCGATCGAGCCAGACAGACAGACACCCATACAGACAGACAGGCCGATCGATGCCCCTTACCACACACTCTAGATTTGGTGTCTGTTGTCGTGAAGCGGGTGTGCTGCAATGCACGTTTGGCTGACTGACCGATTTGTCGTGTGATGCCCTTTGTCTGGAGTGCTGTGATTTATGTCTGTCGTGTAGTGGATGCCTTTCCTTTGGTGGCCATTGAGGAAGAGATAGAGGCCATCTGTGTAGTGGGTGTGTGCGCGCGTGTGACCGTGCGGATGGATGGATGGATTCCCTTGCCCGTCAGTCAGTCAGTCAGTCCACTGCTTCCCTGACCTTGCAGCTCTCCAGGAGATAGTGGGGGATCGACGGGTAGCGGTGGACGGACGGGCAGGGCGTGTTGTTGTTTTTTCGTTTCGTCCCCACACCGCCTCGCAACCAGTCAGCCCATTACTGCTTTTTCCTTCCTCTGGCCGCTTCCTTGAAGAGCTGATGGGAGGGCAAAATCCATGAGGCTAATCGATCAGTCTGTCGGTCGGACGGATGGATGGGGGGACGGGTTGCAGTGTCTTTGCCCGTCTGTTTTACTTTTCTTTTGGCCGCCGTGTGTGAAATGTGCAGCGTCCATCCATCCATCGCCTCGTGTGGCGATGCAGCCAGCCCATCGACCACTCAGTCAGTCAGTCTGCTCGTCTGTCTGTGTGTCTGTCTGTCTTGCCCTCACCTCCCCCCCACACCCACACACATTGCCATGCCCCTCTGATAAACAGACAGCCAAGCCGAATTGAGCTGAGCCCCCTCTCTCTCCCTGGTACACACACAGATGTTTCCATGTGCGTATTGTCTGTGTGTGTCTGTGTGGGTGGCGTGCCAAGCACCCACTCCAGACAGATTCAATCAAGGGGGCGGTGGAGTCTGGTGCGTCTGCAGTGTGTGTGTGTGTGCATATGGATGGCTGTCTGCCTGCCTGCCTGCCTGCCTGTGGCAAAGCAACGTGCGCGAGCAATGGTGGCGGTTTGTGAGAGCGAGGGAGGGCACCCATGCACGCAGAATCATGACTCGTGTGTGGTGTGCGTACGTGGATGGATGGATGGATGGAATGGGATGGCATGGCAGCAGAGAGATAGATGTGTGCATGCGCGAAGAGAGGGCACAACACACACACTCATTCACTCACCGCCAACCGACGGGCAAGGAAGGAACGACGGATGGATCAACGGCACCTGCACTCGACACCACACACGCCGTGACACTCACAGGTGAATGGATGGATGGATGACACAGTCTGTCTGCGTTTTTAGTGTCTGTTGTCGTGAAGCGGGTGTGCTGCAATGCACGTTTGGCTGACTGACCGATTTGTCGTGTGATGCCCTTTGTCTGGAGTGCTGTGATTTATGTCTGTCGTGTAGTGGATGCCTTTCCTTTGATGGCCATTGAGGAAGAGATAGAGGCCATCTGTGTAGTGGGTGTGTGCGCGCGTGTGACCGTGCGGATGGATGGATGGTTTTGGTGTTGGGCGGCCATAAGGCCTTCTCCCCGGCAACAAGCGGGGTTGTGTGAGTCTGAGGGTGGGGTGGGAGGACAGATAAGTTTTAGTGCCAGGGCCGCGTGTGTGTCCAGCTGAGGAAGAGGCGGGAGGGGAGAACCAGGTCAACGGAGAGGTCGACGATGAAATGATACCAGTCGGTAAGCAAAGCAACCACACACACAGGGAGAGAGAAGAGACCTCAGCTCACACATCACAAGCACCTTTCCCTTCGGTGTGTGGCTCTTGCATAGGTTTGGATGAGGACCATGACCTCTTCAAGTCGACCATTTTGCTGCGCACCCAGGCCGAGGCCTACTTGTCCCTCTCCTTCCTGCTGGACCGCTCTGTCTGCTGCCGTCCTACCGCGCCGTGCGTCTCGAGACCGACCTTCTCGCCCCTCTCTACTCACGACAGATCCCTCCCCGCCCAAAAGCCAATGTCCCCTTCTCGCCCTCACCCTCACTTACCCGGCCGTCCCCTCGTCTACAGCTCATCGACCGTCTGGGCCGCACTGAGCTGCACGCCATTACGAGCCTGAGGGAGGAGGCCATGTCTTCATGGCCGCTGGGGCAGCTGCTGCTGGTGTCGGGCTTCCTGCTGCTGGCGCCAGTGAGCTTCCCATGATGACCAACCACGCGGCGCACGGGGGCAGCAGCGACAGCAGCGACGTCTGTGTGCCGTGTGTGTGGGGATTGGATTGATGCCAGCAGCTCAGCTAGCCCACCCTCTGTGTGTCCTGCAGACAGACAGGAAGGCATACAGGCGGAAGCAGACACCACACCCACCACCTCCCCCACTTTGTGTCGCCCACTTCTGGATACTCCTGCCTGGCTGCCATGGCCGATGGATGGCGGATGGAGGATGCCGTCAACGGCATGGCTGCCTACATTTTATATTTCGATGGATGGCTCTTCTGTTGACATAACAGACTGTTGATTGAGACAGACACACTGACCTTCGTGTCTCCTGCACAGAGTGCACTAATCCCCACATCGCAACAAGCTGTCACTGTCGGTGTGAGCGGTGAATATGGTGGGCAATTAATGAAGGTGAATTGTCAGTCATTTTGGTTGTATGTCAAATGGGTCTCACACACACACATACACATACAGATACACGCAGCCCAGACAGAGACACTGACGGCCATGGACACCGACCGGCCGGCCGACGCACCCAAGAAATGCGTATACGTGTCTGTGGGGGAGAAAGAGGAGCCTGCCTAGAGCCTTCTGAGATAGGTAGGTCTTATCACGCACACACGCGTCAATGGCACACAACACACACAAACAGACACGCACACAAAGCGACCGAAGGATTCAAAGCTTGGCAGCCAAAACGAGGGAGTATGAGCCATCAGACTGTCTGATGGGGCCGGGCCCATTGTCAACAGTCGGCCGACACGCACGCACCAACGCACACAGAGCGGCCGATTCCTTACACATAGACACACAGAGCGAAAAAATCACCTGATGCACTCACGGCACACCATCATGCACACGCCTCGATCACCACAATGCACTGGCTGCTCCATCCATCCATCCATCAGCTATGTGTTGAGCTTGATCATTGTGCCCGGTGGCAGTTTGTCCGGGAGGCCCCTGTTCGGCGCGATGGCCTCGGCGGGCACCACCAGCGGCGCGTTGGGGTCCGGCCGGGCGTTGAGCTGCACCGCACGGCTGTGACGAGACGACCGCTTCTGAGTGGAGGAGCGCACACACACACATGCAGCCACGCACAGACACAGGGGGGCGTGTGGCTGCAGTGGGCCGCATATATTATGCTTTCTTGCCTGTCCGAGTGCGGATCTGAGTTTGCTGAGGAGGTATGTGCGGTGTTCGGTTGAGCACTCGGGGTAGGGGAATGGGCCGCCAGTGGCGATGGAGGCGAAGGGGCCGTAGGGGGTGCCCCGCTTGGCCGTCTGCACCGCCTTGCGCGTCAGCTGATGCAGCAACATGTCCAGCTCCTACACATAAACACATAAACATACACACACACACACACACACACATCTGTGGTGTGGTGAATCCGTCTGCCGATGGATTGGGTGACCGGACGGCTGACCCACCACGGGCGGGGCGCCTCCCCGAGGCGCACTGCACCTCACTGACCTGAATCTTCTCGTGCTTGGAGGGGACGATGTTGAGTAGGAGGGTCCGCTGCTGGCGGGCGTGGTACAGTGCCTGCTTGTAGTTCTCAAACTGCTGGAACACCTGCAGAAGGCACTCATGGTACTGACAGACAGAACCACAGAGTGAAGCGATCCACACACACAACACACAACACAGTGTCCATCCATCCATCCATCCATTCTCTCTCTCTCTCTTTTGCTCACGCGTATTTGGGCTCTGTCCTGCATCGCGTGTTGTCCGTTTCTGAGCATGTGGGCCATGTAGTAGGCCAGCGTGTGCACATAAGGGATGGCCATCACCGCCAGGCCGCCCGCCTGCTGCTGGTCCTCTGCTGCCCCCCTCTGCAGCCCTCCCATCATCCCCTCTGTCCCGCCACTAAGGCCGAGCGCCTGTTGTGAGAAGCTGATGAACGCCGCCTTGATGTAGAAGTAGATGATCTCGAGCTGCGGCAGGGGCTGGTTCTCGGCGCACGCCCACACCCGCTGCAGCAGCAGGGCGCTCTTGAAGTGCCGCAGACAGCGGAGTCGGTAGGAATTCCACACAGCTGGGGGGGTGTGCTTCTGGAAGGTCTGCAGGATGGGAATGCAGCACAGCCCAAGGTTCTGGTGCATCTCGATGGCGTCGGGGTGGTCGGCGCCCTCGAGAGCCTCCAGAATTAGCAGGGCGGTGGCGAAGTGATGGGCCGCCTGGTCAAAGTGCTGGGCGTGCATGTGGACGTGCCCCAGCCCACTGTGGCAAATGTAACCCTCGCTGCAGCCATGCACACAGACAGACAGGCAGACACAGGACTACACGTGTGTGTGTGTGTGTTGGTGTGTGGCTCACTCACCCTCCCTCCCTCCCTCCCTCCCTCTCTGTCTCTCTCACTGCTCTCTCTCTCTTGCTCACCGTGAGACGGCCCGTCCGTTTTCATTAATGAGTTTGATGGCGTTCTCGTAGGACTGAATGGCGAGCGCCATGAACTCCTGCATGCCGGCAATCTGTGCAGCGACGATCTCCGACCACACCGACCGCAGCGCACCCCACCCCTCGCACTTGACCACAGGCACCATCCCCACCAAGTCGCTCGACACGATCACAAAGCCATGGCTGGCGGTGCCCCTCTCCCTCTCCCTCTCCCTGTCCCTTTCCCTGTCTGTCTCATGACTCTCCAGCTGCTGGTCGTCACTCTCCTGCTGCTGCTCATCCACCATCTCGAAAGAGAGCGTCGCATTGTCGATGTCGGCCTGCTCGTCACTCGCCGCCGATGGCCCGTCGGGAGCCGCTGTGGTGGCCTCCTCTGACACAGGGAGCCCATCATCTGTCTGGGCCGGAGGGGTGGGAGTGGGAGTGGGGGGCGGCGTGGCTGATGGGGGCGGGGAGGGGGCTGCCTGCTGCTGCTGCTGCTGCTTGTTGTTGTCAGGTCCGCTCCCCTGTTGCAGCTCGTGTGGCGACGGCCACGGTGCAACGTACTGCTTGACGACCTTGCGCAGGGCTGTGTGTTTGATGCAGATGCCGACCTTTCTGCAGATGGTCCGCAGGATGGCGAACCGTCCGTCGTGGCGGTTGAGGGGGGTGCAGTGGACGACAGACGCCGGCAGCACGTAGCTGAAGTGCTTCTTGGCACGGTCGCAGATGCTCCGCCACAGCCGGTCTTGGGTCATCGAGTGCAGGGCGGCCGGCAGGGACGCCTCGATGGGCACCGTCACGGTGGCCTCTGCATCAGGCTCGCTGTCACCGAAGAGGCATTGCAGCAGGTGTGCCGCTGTGGCGAGAAGGGCGCCCGCGGGCTGCTGGGCGAGAATGCGGCTGAAGTGGTAGCTGGCCGACCGCCCTATGATGTCCCGCAGCAGCAGCTCCGCGGCCGGCACCGAGTGGGGCTGCTGCTGCTGCTGCTCTCTCTGCTGCTGGTGCGTGTAAGGCTGATTATAGAGAGTGTCGGTATGCTCGATGCGCGACAGGACGTGCCCAAGGTACCGCATGTTGACGCCATAGCGGTGAAAGAGTTGCTTGAGCCGCTCCGAGTCCATCGGGAGGTGCTGGTGCTGCTGCAGTACCGCCAGCACGCAACACAGCTCCGGAATGGCGTACTCCTTCACCTCGCCAGCCATCGCCTCGAGTGCCGCGTGAGACTCGGCGCTTCGCCTCTCAGCAGCCGTCCGTGTGGCCGACTTGCGCTCGGGCACCAGTGGGATGGGCAGCCAGGGAGTGCCCTGGTTGATCTGGAAGACGCGAGGGGGGTAGTGAAGCAACTCGCCCTCCCTCTCCTTCAGCCACCGCTCGACTCGCTCCGCCCTCTTGCCCTCGTCATTATCTGCTTCGTCGGCGCCGCCCCCACCACCACCGTCCTTGCTGCTGCCACCCCCATTGGCCGCCTCTGCTGCTGCTGCTGCTGTGTCAGCCGTGGGCTGTGTCTGCTGCTCGTCGGCGTTCCTGTGGATGCTGATCTCCTTGAGTCTCATCCTGAGGATGTTGTGCTCGTACTTGCGCCTCGCGTCGTGCAGGGGCCACTCGAAGGGGCCGTACCAGATCTGCGCGCCGTAGAATGACGGGAGGGCGTCCTTGGCGTGGTACCGGTGCTCCACCGGCTGGCGGGTCTGGTACTGCCGCTTCTTGATCTGCTCCTGCAGCTCACGGTCGCACTGACCCATCCAGGCACTCTCCTCGTCCTCAATCTCGTCATCAGAGGGGGGATCCCACGCATCGTGAGCCGCCGTGGATGCGCCACTGCTGGTGTTGTTGGTGGAGTTGGATGGGGCGGATGGCGTGTCCTCTGCCTCTGTGGTGGTTGAGGGGGTGATGGTGGCCTCCTTCTTGATGTTGTCGCGCTTCTGTAAATGCGTTTGCCGCCGCTGGAGGTAGTCGCACACGATCTCGGGGCGAAGGATGAAGGACGCGTCGCGCGGGGAGGGGCTGCGCGGGGCAGGGGGGCAACGGGGGGAGGGAGGGGGACCAGAGAAAGGCTGGATCTTGTGTTGTGTTGTGTGGTGTGCGGCTCGTTGTCACCTGTTGAGGTCTCTTGGTGTGGCCTTCTGCAAGCCGGTGAGATATTGCCGCCCGTCAGTGCCCCGGAAGAGCTTGCTCTCGCAAGGCAGCAACACACGGTGCTGATACATACACACACACATACACAAACACACACACACGTGTGAGACAGACAGACAGACAGACAGACAACCCCCACACACGTGTGAGTTGAGTGTGCACCCACCCACCTGTTGCCCATCTTTGTCGACGATGTCGTGAGGCTGATAGGCCATGTGCCGACCCACCTGACGCACAGCCATGCCATGCATTCGTTCGTTCCACAACCGTGTCGCGTTGCAGTGAGCAGCTCAGACGTATGGTGTACCTTCTTCCACAGCAGCTTCTTGGTCTCCGCCGACGGCACACCGAACTCCCTCTTACCCGACAGACCATACACCACACTGCACAGCACACACAACACACTCGAGTATCACCGCACCGCTATCACCGCACCGCCCCATCCATCTCTGCCAGCCCTCCCTCTGACCTCTCCGGCCGTGCGTCAAGCGCCCCAGGGATAAGGCTCTCGGCCAGGAACCTCACGCCCCCATAGTCCACCACACACACGGCAGGCGTGTACACGTTCTTGTCTTTGGTGGCCTGGCTCGTCGGAGGTACGCCGGGACAGATGCCGCCAGGGAAGCACGACGCCAGTATCGCCCTCCTCTCCTTCTGCAGCTGCTTCTCCACCTCCCTCTGCACCAAGGCGTTCTCACCCTCGTCGCCCTCGATGGCGATCGCCATGGCGCGGCTCTCCCGGATCTCCTCCGTCAGCTCTCGCCGCCTCTCGGCCATCCTCCGCTCGAAACGCCTGTGCGCCGAGTCCTTCGGATCGGAGAAGTCCACCTGATCAGCGGCTTTGTGGGTCTCGCCATCAGCCCCACCAGCAGCAGCAGAGGTAGCCATGTCGGTATCGTAGTTGTCGATGTTGCCAATGAGCTGTGTGGCGCTTGCTTGCGTGCGAGCGACGTCACGTCTGTGTGGGGGTCGGCCGAGATGGCGCCCGAGGCCGCGGCAATGGGCGGGGAGTCGGGGAGGGACGGGGGTGAACGGGGCAGCTGCCATCCATCCATCCATCCACCACCAACACATACACATGCATGTGTGTGTGATGGCCATGCATGGCGCCTCACCCACCCACCCCTGTGTGTACCCGTGTCTGTGTCGTCTTCCTCAGCAAATCCAGCGGCGGTGAAGAGCAGGCCGTTGTCGACGTAGACCGGCTTCGATGCGTCGTCACACGGAGGCACCTGCACACCACACACATGACACGACATGAGAGGCAGGCAGCTTGATCCTTTCTGGGGGCGGTGAGTGCTGTCCCCTGTGTGTGCGTGTGTGTGCCTTACCGTGGGTGCGTGTGGTGGTGCGGTGGGTCCGTGGATGGACCTGTGTGTGGGGTAGGGCTCCACCATCCCGTGGCGGATCCGCATCGCCGTCGCACCCGACGCCTGTGTGAACGACGAGTAGTACTGATCCCACCACACCACACCACAAGACGTCAACAGACAAAGCGAAAGATGTCCCTCCCTGGTTCTCCGTGTCCGCCAGCCCTCACGCACGTACCTGGGTGAATGCCTTGTCTCTGACGCGCTTGGCGAATTCTGTGTCGGATGGCATCTCACGGATCCGCTGGAGCTCCTCATTCCAGTCACGCTGAGGCGCCGCCGCACCCACCGCCTCACACTCAAGCACGCCCTCCACACGATCCGGACTAAACGGATGGTCATCATCCTACACACACACCACACCACACCACACCACACACACCACGCCCTCTCTCTCTCTGTGCTGCCCTTCTGTCTGTTCACCCACCGTGTCCGCATCTTCCCCATCAGCAGCACTGGCTGTGCCACCTCTGACGACCCAGGGTCCGGCGAAGGGCGGCACTCTCAGTGACGCGAGGTAGGACCGCCTGTCGAGCGGCGAGGCCTGCGCTGGCGGCGCCTCAACCGCCACCCGCACCAGTGCTGACGCAAACGCCGGGCTGTAGTGCGCCAGCAGGTCGGCAAGTAGGGTGAAGCACACTCTGCCGCCCCCTTCGGCAGCCGCCACGCCCATCGTGCCGCCGGCGCCCATATCGCCGCTGACAGTGAGGCCCAGCCAGGGAGAGGCCGACTGACCTCCTGACAAGGAAGGCGGCGGCGGTGACGACCCACCTGCAGCCATCACAAGTCACATAACAAAGGTGCTCAGGCGTGCACTGCACGGCAGGCCTTTGTTTGTACCGATGGGCGTGGTGGGGCACGGTGGTGGGGAGGTTGGTGCGGCCGGCACCGGCAGGGGGTAGACGTCGTCCAGCCGTCTGTATGGCGATGGGGGCAGCTGTGTGGGTGAAGACAGGGCTGGGGATAACGGCCCGCCGCCATTGGGCGTGGGTGCAGCGGTGGGCGTCACTGCACCGCTCTTGCCGTTGCTGTCAGGGGTCTCCAGCGACCGATCTGCACACACACACACACACACACACACAGAGAGAGAGAGAGAGTGCGTGGTGTCTCTCTGTCTCTCTGTGACCCGTTTGTTCGTTCGTACCATTTCCCCTCCTGCGTGCGTCTCTCGCCCTCTTGCCGTCCCCGCGCGCATCGAAGGGCGCTGCAGTGCTGCTAGCCTCCGGGCTGCTAGTGGACTCTGCTGCTCCCCCATCTGCCGCTGCCGTGGCCGGCTGTGTCTGCGGCTGTGCACTGGAGAGGGTGAATCCGTTCTCGGTGGCGACGATGTGCAGGAGAGTGCCTTCGAGGGTGAGGGCCTCGTAGTACCAGATCTCGCCACGGAGCCGCCTGCTGGAGGGGGGAGGGTTGAAGCCGCTCGAACGAAGCCACTGCACACCCTGCACACACACACACACACGGGGGAATACAATCAGCCTGTGAGAGCAGAGCGCCGGGAGATGAGATTGCTGGCCGTGCTGTGGCTGACCTTCATGGCCACCCCTTGTGTCCGTTCCCTTTTGCCGGGTTTGGGCCCCAGCAGCACGGCTAGCACGTCCTCAGGCTTCTCGTCGATCAGGTCCTGCGGCTCAAACCCGTCCGCCTCACCCACCTCACCAAACGCACCACCGCCACCACTGCCACTGCCCCCACCGTCATCTCTCTGGGTCTCAGGTGCCTCACTCTCGGCGTCTTCACGCCTCGGCCGCCGTCGCTTGTCTCTCTTTTTGCCACCTGATGCCCTTGACGCCGCCTTGCTGCCCTTGCCGGCGGGTGTGGCGCTGCTGTCGGGGGGTTGGGTGGGCTGGGGGGGCTGCATCGACGGCTCGGCTGCAGTGAGGGTGCACTTGCCGCTCATGACCTGCCGGAGCCGTCTCACGTGGCGCCGCACACCCGCGTCGGTGTAGCGATCTGATGGGGAGAAACACAGCACATATGGCGTGTGTGCGTGGTGGGGCGTGGTTGCAACCGGCTGTGTGTGCTGACTGACTGACCGTCGACAAGCTTGATGGTTGCCCCGTCATAGATGCGAGGGTCCGCCCTCAGCTGCACCTCGTCCATCAGCACGGCGCCATCGCACTCCAGCTGCACACAAGGCAACGCAGACCAGACCAGACACACACGATCTCCACACACATGAGTGAGTGTCTCTGCGTGTTGCCGCGTCTCACGTGCACTGCCGTGAGGAAGCATGCGGGCGTGAGGTCGTTCACCTCGGCCCTCAGCTCCCCCACAGTGGCGGCAGGGGACATCTCTGCACATGCACACACACACACACACACACCCCGATCCACGTCACATGCACCCTCGCAGCCAGCCCATCTCCTTTCTCTACCGAATGGAATGGTGCAGCCGTTGGGGAGCTCCACGGTGAGGTTCCACACGGGCACATGCTCCTCCTCCACATCAGCGGCGCCCAACATCTCGCGTAGCGTCGTAACAGGCTCCAGAGGTCCCGATAGACTGTTGACAGACAGCTGAGTCGTCAGCTGCAAGGCCGATAGATAGACGGGCTGAAACTCACCCACTCGTCGCCGCGTGAGGCTCTCCCTTGCGAGCAAAGAAGTAGGAAAACCTTCCGATGCTGATGCAGTCAGATCTCTCTTCAGAACCTCTCAGGCCGACGCTACGAGTGCGCTGCTCTGCCTATCGCTGCCAGATCTCTCTCAGAGTATCCCACATCTGAGCTCGCAATAAAGCTCGCGAACAGAGGGAATTTCAGGGGAGGGAGAGAGGGAGAAGGGTCAGGGCGCGCGTCAGCCAGCACTCCAGCTTGGTTCACAAGCGATTGTTGATTCATTCATAGTGCCCTTATAGCATGAGCGATGGCGCCTCGTGCGGGCCCTCATGCCATCGGTCTCATCGTCGCCAGGTGCCCGCCCGGCGACGACACCGTCATATTTCTCGCGGCAGCACACGACGTGTCATGGTGAGGAGACAATCCAATCCGACACACACGAAGGAAGCCCCGACATGCCGTCATGTATGGGATGTGTGTGTGTGATTGTGTGTTTGTGTGATTGTTCAGTTTTCCTTTCCTGGAGCGTTCGGCGATGAAGGAGACCTGCAACTTCCTCGCACGCACCGCAATTCCACACGTAAGTATGCTCCCGTGCATGGAACACATACACAAGCAATGCGTCCCTCCTCCCCTGCTCAGACAACCTGACTCTGTGTGTGTGTGTGTGTGTGTGCAGTTGGTTGTCGACCGTCGTCAGTCCGTCGAGCATGAGGAGGAGTGGGTGGCGCACTGCCTTAGGTACCGCGACGGCATCGCCATCGTCTTCATTGCCAGCGACGAATACCCACAGAGGCAGGCACACACACACACACAAGTGGCCGGGCATCCATGTGGAGCTGCGTGTGCGTGTGTGCAGGGTGGCGTACAAGGGTGTGGCTCAGGTGCGTGAGGATTTCTTGGAGGCCTACCCTTCAGGCGAGTGGCGGATTGCCGGCAGGGACTTCGCCCTCTCCAGGAGCTGGAACACGGAGCTCATGGGCATCCTCAAGCTCTACCAGGTGGGGGAGCAGGGTGTGTTGCACGCCGCCATGAGCTCCTGCCTGTTGCTATGGGCCTGTGGTCAGTGCAGGACCCCACACAAGTCGATGCGCTCAGCAGAACACAACAGAAGGTCGACGAGACCAAGGTACCCACCTGCAGCAGACAGATGCGCGCGCGGCAGCACAGTAAATGGTCGATATATCACCATTTGTGTGTGCGCGTGTGTGCGTGTGTGTGTGTGATTGGTCCACTCACTGATCAGGACATCATGCACACCACGATGAAGAACATTCTGAAGCGGGGTGAGAATCTCGACGCACTGGTGGCCAAGAGCGATGACCTCTCAGGTGAGTGAGTGGCGGGGTGGTGCAGTGCACAGAAAGCCACTCTCACTCACTAATTGTCAATAATCAGACTTCTACACAAGTACACTACTGTGTGCACGTGTGCGGTGTGTGCAGCTTCTTCCAAGGCGTTCTTCAAAACGGCCCAGAAGGTGAACCGCAGATGCTGCGCCATCATGTGATGGAGTGATGGACAGGCGCCCGCCGGGCCCTGCCTGCTGGGACAGTGGGTGACAGATTTGCTCAATACATATGGATGGCTGGCTGGCTGCGACTGACTGGTGAATGTATGTGTATAGCTAGGCGGGGAAGTGAGCTGACAATGAGCTCGGGATCGGGGCGGGTTGGGGCGTTGCGGCCGGGTGATGGGGCACCACCCGGCATGGGAAGGAAGGAGGCATGAAGAGACAGAGACAGAAACATACATACGTACGTACAGTACACACACATGTATCCGTTTTGTACAGACAGACAGACAGACATTAATTAAACAGACAGACAGGGGTCTGATGCGATGGGATTCCTCTGTCGGAACAGGCCATGCACGGCACTAAATGATACCTCTGCCGCTCCCTCCTCCCTCCCTCCCTCCCTCCCTCCCTCCCTCCCCTCTCTCCCTGCGAGCTTAGCTTGTGGGCGGGGTGTCCGCGTCTCGTCTGTCTTCCCTTTTTTCCGCGAAGCGCCTGCATTCAATCATCAGCGCCCGCCTTCACATGGCGGCCCGGCGCATTTCGCTCCCCATCTTCGCCGTCACCTGCGCTGTCTTCATCACTGTATCGGCCAGCCAGCCACTGCAAAGCGGCCCAGGCAGCAGTGCAGAGGTCGGGCGGCTCAGCGCAATACAGAGCCATAAATTGGTACGGCAGCAGCAGCCGGCGCCGTCCGATTCGGATGTGCTGCGGGCGCAGATAGGCGAGAATCGGTGGAAGGAGGTGGAGGCTGAGCTGGAGAAGGGCGACAAGGTGCCCGAGTGCGATGTGCGTCGGGCGGAGGTGATATCGCTGAAGGTTTCGGCTGAGGACAAGTGGCTGCCGTGGAGCTGGCGGGACCGGGCGCTGGGCGTCAATATGCAGGTGTTTGATGCAGAGGACCATCCGCCGCTGCTGCACCAGTCGTAAGCTCATATGCTATCAATGCACACAGACTGACATTTCGGTACCGTACGTGGCTGTGCCGGGTTTCCTTGTGGCTGCAGAGATGACCCACACACAGGCGGTGTCGTCACATGGATTGGTAAGGACAAGTGAGTGAAGTCAGTTAAGTCCTGCACTCACTGCTCTCATGATGTAATGTCAATCTTAATGCAGGATTCGGGCCTGGTCGGTATCTCATCACGCCACCAAGCGGCCATTTGCGCGTTTGCTACCGATGGGCCGAGTCCCAAAGCGAGGGATTCACCTTCGCCCTTCTCCTGGCGTTCGACCGGCCTCCCCCACCAGGGCAGCCAGTCGTCTTTCTCGACAACTTCTGGGGCTTCCGGCTGGGCGCATCGGCCGCATACACCGTCCATCAAGACGCTGAGGGCACGACGATCGAGGTGGATCCTGAGTCGGTGTACCTTGGTTTGATCGACATTCACACGCCCACCAATGTAACGGACCCCGACCCGCCCAAAGGCATGATCCGCGTCTGCTGGCGGTCGGCCGCTGGGTTTCTCTACCACTTTGTGATGTCGCAGTCGACACTGCAGATCTTCAAGATGGGCAGGCTGGCGGGGGAGGTGGCTGTGCCGGCCAAAATCGCGGCGAACATGCTGACGCCGAGCCCCCTGTCGCTGGGGTGCGATCACCGGGGCGTAAGAAAGCCTTATCAGATATACTTCTGAGCTATGATGCAATAAACTGCCCGAATAGATTGGTGTTTTTCTGAATACTTTCAGAATAATTGCTTTAGGGGCCGGGTGCGGTACATGCACTACACTAACCAGGGGCGGCTCGTCAAAGACATGAAGGGAGCTACGGACCAAGCGGCCGACCTTCTCAGTGGGCAAAGAGAGAGCTGATCTGATGCCTACACACATTCATTCTCTCATGTGGCCGTCTCTGTGTGTGTGTGGGTCAGATCTCGTTCAGCGCTGTGGCGATGGTGAGGTCGATGCCGAGACGGAGGAGTGCGACCCCGAAAAGACGCCAGACGACTGCTCGTGCAACTGCAAAAGTAACACACACAGAGAGACAGAGACACAAAATGCAGCCCGACTGCATATCGTGATGTCTCACGTGTGCCAGAGAAGTGCCCGCCCTACATCAAGGCCCTGGCCAGCCAGGGCGCCCCCTCAGAAGCATACCTCGGCCGCTCCAGTGACACGTCTCCCTTCACCTACAGAGCACTGGAGCGATCCATGCCCTTCGGTGGTGTGCTCACGCTCAAGTGCGCCACAGGGGATGAGGGGCTGCCCACCACCAAGTCGGGTGCCACCTACCACGGCTTCGTCGACACGGACATTGTCAAGTGTGGGGCAGTTAAGAGCGGGGAGCTCCCGCCACGGATTCTGGATTGCCTCAGTGAGCGGAACAATCACACAACACGCCATCCAATCTCGCCCTGTTGTCATCTTTCTCTCTCTATATATGTGTGTGTGCAAGTGACCCCACTAGGCTGGATTGGTGGAACAGCACCGATGTTGGAGCAGCGGCCTCTCTATCGCCTGCTAAGCCCCCGTCGGCCGACCAAGCTGCGGCACGGCGAGAGCGCCCAGCTGCAGTGCGGCGACAGCTACCTCCCGCCACTGGGGATGCAAAGCGAGACGGCGCTCTTCTGCAACGACGGCATACTGGACGTGATGGACTTGCAGTGCAAGGAGATGTGTCCGCATGACATCCTGGAGCCGCCCTTCTACGAGCACCCGATATCGGCTGTGCGGTACAAGGTCGAGGGGCAGGACATCGGCAGGATGGAGGGGGCATCGCGGAAGGTCATGTGCATGCCCGACTACGCGCAGCCCGTCAATGCCGCATTCCAACAGAAGTTCCAGTACATCTACTGCGTCGGCGGCGAGTGGACCGCTCTCTTGCTCGAGTGCGCCGGTAAGCAAAGCCGTGCACCGCGCCCCAGCAAACATGGTGGGTGCCTGGCGTGTGTGTGTGTCAGGCCACTGCCCATTGTTCCGTCTTCGGCAGAATGTGCATCACTACGTGCTGGAGGGGGTCAATGCCACCGAGTACGAGGTGCCTTACCTTGGCCAAATGCGGATCACATGCAACGAGACGGGGGGGTTTGCGCGTGCGGTGGGTGACCCTGAGGTGGAGCTGGTCAAGTGCACGGGGAGGGCGTGGCCGCCTGAAGACGAGTACACGCGACAGGACTACAGATGCTCCAGTAGGCCAGGCCCCCTTGCAGAGACACACATTTACGCGACACCCGTCTCCCTCCCTCTGTGCGCCCAGCAATGTGCACGAGCGGCCCGCCGATCAAGAAAGAGGAGGCGATCAAGTACAGCCTCGAGTACAATGTGCCATTCACCGGTCCCCCCCACCCCCCATTCCGCCACTCCACCACAGCCAACGTTCGGTGTGCCGCCAACTCCCACTCCGCCGATGAGAACATGCCCGACCACCAGACCACCGTGTGCAGCAACGGGCAGTGGACGGACCTCACCTTGAGATGCAAGGAGGACTGCGGCCCCTGGCAGAAACTAGCGGACGACCGCTTCATGACGCACCCGCCGCAGGATGAGCTCTTGAAGGCGGCCTCGTTCAGATACGGCTTCAAGGTGACGATCGAGTGCCAGAGGGACCCCAGCAAGACGACGGGCAATCTGGCGTCGGCCAATGAGCAGCAGGAGCTGGCGTGCGTCGAGGGCCACTGGACGCCTTTGCACATTGCCTGCCACCGTACACTGAGGAAGACACTCTCATGGCTGCCTCCGATTCCTTTTTGTCTCTGTGTGTCAGTGGGGTGCCCTCCCTTTTCCTTGAAGGACGTCTCGGCGACCCTGGCGCCCCAAACGACCTACGTGTGGCCGGAGAACAGCGTGCCCCAACCAGGGGCGGTGAGCGACATGTACGTCATCAGCGACGAGTCGGTGCTGCGTGGCCCGTCCCCCCACGGCACGAGGGTGACCATCGCATGCGCCACGTCCAAGCACTTCCACCCGATCGTGGGCCCGGATGAGATGGACATCGTCTGCAACGAGGGGCAGTGGAGCAAACAGAACCTTATCTGCGGACCTGACTGCCCCACCGTCCAGCCCCTCTTCCCAACGGAGGCCTACACCTACCCCAAGATGACTCGCCGCGCATCGTCCCTCGACCCCGCCGCGTTCCCCGCTGCGCGCGGCGCCGTGCCATGGGAGAGTGTGGCCGTCAGCGATGCGGCCAAGATACAGGAGCTGCTGCAGCAGCCCTTCCAGCCCCACGGGATGCAGCTGACTTTGCAGTGCAGCCAGAGGAAGAAGTTGGCGCCCAACGGGGGTGCCGTGGACCGCACCGACGTCCTCACATGTGACCGGGGGCGCATCACCGGGGCGCCCTTCGAGTGCATGGGTGGGTGGGGCGTCGGGGGGGAGGGGGGGGGAAGGGACACACAGAGCTCCCTGGAAAGGTGCATCCATGGACGTGTGTATCATGGCATGGTCGGATGGATGGATGTGTGTGTGTCAGCTCCGTGTGAGGACTACCCGCTTCACGAGATCCGCAACCCCTCGTTCTACTCCATCCAGCCGCCCCAAGGCCACGCCACCCTCCCGTATCCCCACGGCACACACGTCACTGTCAGGTGCTCCCTCGTCAACGACACTGCCCCTTCCCCAGCCCAGCCGGGCTTCGTCTCGGCTGTCTGCTCTAACGGCACCTTCACGCCCGTGCCACCACCATTCGTCTGCACAAGTAAGTACCCCACACACATCCATAGACAGAGGGGGAAAAGGGGCAGGAGGTGTTCGTGTGTGTGCGTGTGTGTGTGTCTGTGTCAGGGGAGTGCAAGGCCCCCGAGCTCACGGCCACACCCGAAGCGGTATTGTCGTTTGAGCGGCTGGACAAGTACAAGGACCTGTACAACCACCAAGAGAGGATTCGAGTGAGATGCGCAAACAAAAGGGGCTACTTCAACATCACAGAGGGAACCAAACACAGGGCCGGGGAGAACGTCGACATCGCAACCATCGCCTGCCAGAACGGCAAATGGAGCGAACCCGATCCCTATCTCACCTGCAAAAGTGAGCGAGGCCCATCACGCTGACACACATACGATCGCCCCTCCCTGCCTGTGTATGCAGAGACGTGTCGCGATCTTAGTGAGGTGGTCGACCTCAAGAGGTACGCCTTCCGTCAGCTGGAAGACGCCACCCAGCTGACGGATGATCGGGCCTGTGAGGGCATCGTCCGCCCACAGGGGTCCACACCCGCCGCCCTCGCCCTCGGCGTCCATCTGAGCGACTTTCCCCGCCACTCGTCCTGCGTCAAGTTCGGGTGTGCCAAGGATGAGACACCCGATGTGCAGCCGCGCGAGTGGCGGAGCATCAGCTGTGGGGCGGATGGGGACGATAGGGGCACCACTTGGAAGCCGGCCTTCAGCAGCAACGAATGCACCACACTGAGCTGCCTCGACGGCAACTGGACGCCGAGGGAGTTCGATTGCAAAGGTCAGCCATAGACGGATGGGTGGCGGGGTGGGTGGAACACAATGCAGCAGTGGCTGCGGTGTCTGGGTGTATGTGATGTGTGTGCAGATCCGTGTGTGGCCCCGCTGTCTCGGTTCTTCCGGCCTGGTGTGGTGTATGCGCCCCCATCAGACGACAGCAAAGCCTTGTACACGCACGGGGAGACCGCCTACATTCAATGCAAAGGCAAACACGCTCTTCCACCTGCCCCCTCACCCCTTCACCATTCGCATGTCTCCGTGCCCTTCAGACAGCGACGAGATCGTCAGTGGTTTCACTGCGCTGCCCCCTGTGGGCTATGACCACGTAGAGGCCATCACGTGTGACAACGGCCGGTTCGAACACATCGCCATGCAATGCAGAAGTAACTAACCGACCAGCCGACCATTCACACGCTCACACAGCAGCGCAGCCATCTGTCGTCTGGTGTGTTTGCTTTGCACAGAGCGGTGTCTCCCCTACCAGTCGCCCTTCAGCCCACCCCAAATGTATGTCTCCTCCCCGGTTCCCACATTCGCGCCAGAGGAGCTCAAGGTCGACCAGCAGGGTTTCAACTACATGGCCAGTCCATCAGCGGAGGCCAAGGCCGCCATGCGAGCGGTGGAGCCCTACTTCCGCCACAATAGCCAGCGGTTCATCAGGTGTGTGGAGGGCTGGAGCGACCCCGAGTGGAAGTCCGACGAGCCAGACATGGTGCGGTGCCTCAATGGGACCTGGTCGCGACAGGCCATCCGGTGCAAACGTGAGCACAGCACGAAGGAGACAGAGAAGCAAATCAACAGATGAGGGCGCTTTCTCGTCTCTGTGTGCAGCCCAGTGTCGCGGCGACGCCTTCTGGGAGCTAAGCCCAGCGCGGTATGAGGTGCTCTTCAGCGGCCGTCCGTCTGAGCCAGGGAAAGACGAGGAGGAGGAGCAGGCACCCGGCCCTCAATTCTCTGTCGGCGGGGGAGGGGGAGCCGACACGCTCAACGAGACTCTTGATCGGTTCTTCTACGAGCCGCTCGACCGAACGAAGCTCTACGACGACGGCTCGTTCATGAAGCTGATGTGCAAGGGCGAGTATGACCTTGCCAGCCCCATGACACAGATGCGGAAGCATCTGGCGACCATGCGTGAGACCGATCCCGAGTGGATTCCAAGGGACGTGGAGGACTGCAGCAAGCACCAGTGCGACGTGCAGTGCCGCAACGCTGTGTGGACCGACATGCAGCACTTCTGCCATCGTCGGTGTCCGCCGTTTGTGAAGCCGACAAGAGGGAACCGCATGAAGTGCGAGCCGCCCGGGCCATGCATGACCAAAGACCAACTCAGACAAGCAAGCAGGCGATCGAGGCACACCCCACCACGGCACCACAGGCGGTGGTATGTTGTGTGTGCAGAAGGACAAGGCGTCTCCCTTTTATGCGGGTGGTGACAGCTGCTCGCGCCACGGGACGGCATTCATCCTCAAGTGCGAGTCCAAGTACTGCCCCCACCCGGCGCCAGAGAACGAGACGGTCAGGTGCAACGACGGCGAGTGGGAACGGTCCACACTATCATGCCCACGTATATGACAGCACCACACAGACGGACAGACACCAAGACGGACAGTGAGATATGGATGGATGGATGGATGTGTGTGTGTGCGCAGGTCCGTGCCTGGCCCAGATAGACCTTCGTCTGTACCGCCCAGACGAGGAGCCATTCCGCTACGTCATATCAGACTCACTCGCCAACACGCCGCCGTCGGGGGAGAACGTGCCCCGAGTCGACGAGAAGAACAGGTCGCTGCCTCTCTACATCCACGGCAACCGGCTTCTAGTCACTTGCAACACCACAGGGGGATTCATGTCGACTCTCTCGCGGCCGATGGACAGCACTGACTGTCAGGATGGCGTCTGGACACTCACCGGCATACAGTGCAGACGTACGCACGTCAGCACACACACGCTCGAGAGCCGTCAGACAAACAACCTGTTTTTGCTTGGTCTCCTGTCTAGGTGACTGCCCTGAGTTGCAGGTGTATTTCGATGGCATGGGCGAGTCGATGGCCAAATACGCCATCGAGGGCGGGTCCGAGTCGCTGCGGCACGGCACCGTCATATCGGTGTCTTGCGCACGCACCTTCTCGCCCATCAGCGGCTCAGAGCCCGAGACCATCGAGTGCAACGATGGACACTGGTGGCCGATGGAACTGAGATGCAGAAGTGAGCACTGAGGGGGGGCAACACACACACAGACACACACACACACACGCACAGAGGGTGGAAGCGACACATGTCTGTCTGTCTGTCTGTCTCTCTGTGTCTGTCGATTCACCGTGTTCGTCAGAGATGTGCATCGATTACGTCCAGTGGGCGCTGGCGAATGACATCGCCGTCATGAACCAGTCGCGGTATCAGATCGTCCGGCCACGGGACCACCTCACGGAATCACTGTTCCCGGCCGGCAAGTCACTTCAGATACGATGCGCCATCAGGCACTCAGACGTAAGCACAGATGGAGGAAGAGTCAAGAGAAATTGTCAATCAAGATGGGTGTGTCTTTGTGTGACTCGATGGCATGTTCGATGGATGGGCAGTCGATGGTGTTCACTCAGTCCGGTATGCCTGACCGGCAGTTTATCACATGCGAGGATGGCGACTACAGCACGCGTCTCCTCATCTGTGAACGTCAGCCATAGAGAGAGAGAGAGAGAGAGACATTCAGACAGAGAATCCCCGTTGGCACATATGTGCTTTGTCCCCACTCACTCACAGCCAACTGCCCAGAGTACGTGCCTGAGGAGGACTACACCCACGACAGCCGCTTCGGCATCTCCATGATTGTCGAGCGCAGCGGGACAGGCATGGACACCGTCTACAACACCGGCACTGTGCGGAACGGCGCCTCACGGACGGTCTCCTGCTGCACCAACGACTCATTTGTCTACCCGGCTGAAGGCGGAAAGGCACCCGCAGACAGACTCAAATGCAGGTCAGTCAGTCAGTATGTATGCTGGTTTGGTGCTACGGGCAATGCTGATGATGTCCGTGCGTGTGTGATTGGTTTCAGGTGGACATTTGCCACCAACGTGCTCGATCCGCCTTATACGTCAGAGGTCCACTGCAACAACGGCCACTGGTCTGAGCCCGAGATGCAGTGCCACCGTAACCAAGGGATGGAGGGAGGGGGAAGCAGCGGACGGGACACAGCAGAGTTTGTGTGATCCTGTCTGTCCACCGCAGCGATGTGCGAGCCGTTTGGTTATGAGATGGTGTACGCCGACGGGAGGGAGCAGAACTACTACCACCCAGAGAAAGGCTACCCCCTGCCCCTAATGCATGGGCTTGTGGTACCTGGAGCCGAGACAGAGGTGCGGTGTGCCAATGGTTACCTGCCTGAGCCGCAGCAAGCCACTTGGGATGACCGGCCTGCATTCAAGACTCAGTGTTTTAACGGCTACCTCACTACACCCTTCACCTGCATCAGTGAGCGAACCACGGCGGGACAGCACATATGCATCCCCTGCCTGTCTGTGTGTGTCTCTCCCACACACACTGCACCCACCAGAGATGTGCCCCCTGCCCTTTCGCGAGCCCCACAAGACGGTCCGCTACAATGTGGCCGGCCCCCTGTCTGTCGAGTTCGAAAACCTCATCTACGACGACTTTGTCAAGCAGCGCCCATGGGTGCGGCGGCATCGGGCGAGATACTACGCCTTCTGCTACACACCTGGCTGCGAGAAGCCCCAGCCCAAGCTAAACAAGACCGTTGCAGCCGAATGGGACATCGCGGGGAGGATCGGCGGGCAGAAGAACGAATCGGAAGGCCCCATACAGGAGGCCGAGCCCAGGACAGCTTTCCTCAAAGTCGGCCCGATGTATGTACGCCGTCGACTGAGTGACGAAATCAACAGGCACATATGGAGATATGCATGCATGCGTTGGGATTCAGGATATGTCGTGACAAGGACCGGCTGGGTGACGATGACCTGGTCGGCGTGGGTGACTTCTACGGGAGGCTGTGTGAGGCCGAGATGAAGGAGAGCAAGTGCAGGCTTGAGTCGCCGCACAGCCTGCCGGTCGTCAAAGGCGAAGAACACAGAGGCAGTGGGAAGGAGGCCATCGTTCAACAATGGCCCAACAGGGTGGGTGTGGCGGTGGATTGGACGACCACAAAGACGAACCAATGGCGCTTGCTCCCCTTCATGCATCCCACATGTGCCTGCCGATCCGCAGCTTGGCCCGATAATGTTCAGCCGTACAAAGTGGTGGTACCTGGCTCTGTGGGATCAAGACCCGATTAAGGACGACTTCGTTGGTGAGCGACAGAAATGGTTCAAGAGAGACACACACACCGATACGTAGATGAATGACGGGTGCATGGATCCCCCCATGTGTACCTCTCCTGTCTGTCAGGGAGAACGGAGAACTTCACCCTCGCGGATTTCATGGTCGGTGCGCTTGCTTTGCCTGGCAGTGCACACCAAGAGGAAAATGACGCAACGGCAGCTTGCCAGTTGCTCGACCAATGATTGATTCGTCACACACTGTGGTGTTTTCCTTGCAGGAGGACCAGGAGAAACTATTCACCCTTTCTCACAGCGCAGGTAAGCGCAGCGTTCTGCAATTTCTGCGTTCATTGTCTGTTCCTTGCTTCGTTTGTTGGTTCGTCAGGGAGGGTCACGATCACAGCCCAGTACTGGGGGACGCAGACCGGCGTTTCCCCTTACCACGGTGATGAGTGGATGAGAGACGTGCCCGGAAGGAACATCACTGTCAGAGGCGGCGGCTTCGGTAACAAATGAATGACAGAGTGTGTCAGGCATACAGACAGGCAGACAGACAGACAGACAGACGGACAAAATCTGTCTGTCCACCCATCCTCCCTCCCTCCCCTATGTGTTTGTCATGACTTTACCCGTCCACGCAGGTTGTTTGCAGCGTCGGCGAACGATAGAGACCGGTATAGGCAAGAAACCCTATGAGGAATCATGCCGCCGCGAGCGCCCTATGAGGGTGGACCCGCCGTGATAGCCTGGGCCGTCAACACGGTAGTCAAAATCTGGAGAATCTTCCGCATCGGGCCCCCCAGCAGCGTGTATGTCGACACGCCACCCATCCCTCCATCCCTCCATCCCTCCGTCCCTCCATCCCTCCATCCATCCATTGACGCTGGCTGACGTGTATCTGTCTGTCTGTCATGTAGGCATGTCTATTACTTCAAGTGGTTTTGGCCACAACAGATGGCCAACCCGATGGCGAGACTCCACGGCGAGAGATCAGGCAAACGTACGTCGAAGATACACGCTTCGCTTCGACACAGCGAATGTAAGTGTGTCTGTATGTGTGCGTGTGTGTGTTTGTGCTGTAGACTACCAGTGTCTCTGGGGCACGTGGGTCGGCCAGCCTGACGAGCCGCTCAATTGCGCACAGTCCTTTTCGCAGAAAACGTGCATCGACCCCAATGCCACCATCTGGAGGGTCCCGACACACAACGAGACACCACGGCCGCTGGTCCGATTATCCAACACAGGAGATCCGTTGTCATCATTTCAATCGCTGAGCTCCCGCCTGCACCACTCGTTCCAACACAGGGGAGGAAACACTGAGGCTCACTTCTTTCGCCGTAGCAGTCTCGGCGAAGTGAGTCGTGTCATGTCACTCTTCCTGGTCATCGGTCGCCTTATCGATCTGTTGCTGGGTGTTGGGATCATGGCCAAAAGGCCGGACAAGGAGGCTTTGAAAGCGGAAAAGAGAGCAACCAAGCCGTTTCAGCCGCTGGAGGCCGTGGCGGCGTCTGAGGTGCGTGTGGGCGATCGGATACTGTCATACGACGGGAACGCAGGAGGGCAGCCCAGACTGACAGAGGTGTACTTCAGGGAGTCGTACCCAAGTACGTCAGGGACAACACGCACACACGTCTACCTCTTTGTATTCCATAAGTGGCTGCCTGCGTCTGTGCACCCTTTGTGTGCAGTGAGGCCGACTCGTGTGATCGACATCGAGGCCACAAGGACTGAGGATGCACCGCCACCATGCTCCTCATCGTCGGCATCGGTGTCTCTCCGTCTGTCGCCCTCTCACAGGCTGCCTGTGGTGAGAAGAGGGAGGGGCCGGCATGTCGTCAGTGCCGATCAGGTGATGCCTGGCGACTGGATTGAGACAGTAGGGCCGCCCAGCCGCCATTCCGGAGGAGAGCCAGACGCCGCGCAAGAAATGCCATCACGATGTTGGCACAGAAGAGGAGGGGGCGACAGTGCGGCAGGAAGGAGCAATGTCACTGAGGCGGCCGTGTCGCCCGCCGCGCCACCAAATGCCTCGATTTCCTGGCCGTCTGGCCCTGCCCGCGTCACTGGTGCGAGAAGATCAACACAGGTAAAAGCACGTGTACGCCTGGATGCCACTTTCAAAAGAAATTGCCGGTTTCTCGTTTTCAGTTGTCTGGTTTGGAGCTGATCTACACGCTGGACTCGCACCTGGTGGCGAATGGGATGGTGATCACCGACTCGGACGAGCCGCTGGACGCGCACATGCCATACACTCTCCTGTCCAACCTGGACACAAGGCACGCACACACACCCAAGCAATAGGGGAGACACAACCACTCCTGACTGTCCGTGTGCATTCGTGCCGCGCAGGATTGTGTATTGGCTGTGGGGTGCTGCTGGTGTGAACTCTCGTGTGTTCAGAGCATACTGGAGGTACACACAAACGAGTGGCCTCCCCTCCTACCGCGCCTCTCACGATTTCTATTCTCCGTCTCCATGTTGCTTGTTGTGTCTCAGGTGGAGCGTAGCCTGGAGCGACGCTTTTCAGGCGGTCTTCTCTTGATAGACCAAGTGTTGCTGCGGGTGCGAGAGACATGTCGCTGACTTGTCTGTCGACTGCTGATAGGTCCTTTCTTTGTCATCTGCAATGGGTCTTTGTCGATGTGTGTTTGACATTTTTGGCGGTAGGAGATATGTGTGCCATCTGCAACATGCTCTGACCTGTTGAGATTGGCCTGTTCTGTGTTTCCTATTAATATTGTCCATTTATACATCATGGACGACATGAAGTGTCTGTCCCGTGCAAATTAAATGGTTGAGCTGATGCATACACAACGGTCGGATTGACCCACGACGACACATCCACTCATACTCTGGTACACGTGACGGCCATTGGCTGCAGCCAGGATCATCCTCATCGCAAAACCACATCCGGATCCAGACCACACACACTATGAACTTACACATGCACCGGTGCTGACAGCTATTATTTTGCACTCTCATTCAGGGTTAGGTGTACAGGGTTACCAAACCCTGATGGGCATGGCGGCAGCTCGAAATGACAGACCTGCTTCCCATCGATGTGTGGCACAATGCGCTCGTACCTTTTCTGTCCGTGGGTGAATTGGCAGCGCTTCGCAGCACCTCGCGAGAAAGCCACATTTCTGTCGTCACCGCTGATCTATTGCTGAAGCGCATCGATGCCCGTCTTGAAGGCAATTCCCTCCGAGGCGTCATCGACATCGACCGCGAGTACGGAGGGAATGTGGCTGCTGGTGGTTATGTAGCTGGACTTCTTGCCATCTTCCGCCGACTTGCGTGGTGTTCCCGCCGGCTGCGTGGTCCAAGCCGTCTCGGCTACTTCCTGGCGTGCGCCCGTGTGCTGGAGCAAGGCGGCGACGGCTGGAGGAACATTGGGGCCTTCATTCGGCTGGCCGTCAACTATCGGCTGATGGCTGACAGGACGCTGCCGGTGGTGCTGTCAGCTCGATGGGTGGCGGCTCATGTGCGCACGAAGGCCTCACGGCGGCTGTCTCTGACAGAAACGGTCTATTTGTCCCTCATTGGTCATCGAGTGGCGTGCAGAGGCGACCCGCTGTACAGGGCGATCATCGGCGAATACAAAGAAAAGCTGCCACCTGGCGACCCCTACAGAAAGGGCTACAACCAACAGAATCCCGTGGTCATCGACGACAACAAACTCTTCCCATCCTTCACAGCACTGATGCTCTACATGCTGCTCCAGTGCTGGGTCGCACGAGACCCCCGTTCGGCGTCCAGGGTCGTGCTGAGTGTACACGTCGACAGGAGCGACAGTCGGATGAGTGATGAGCTCACGGGCGAGGAGGGCATCGCTATCAGCTACCGGCTCTGGAAGAGTCGTTCTTACCGCCGCTTGGTTATTCTCAGTGGATTTCGGCCTGACGACACCATTGCTGCCTTTGTGAGGGTGCGCTTCGGGTCGAATATCGAGCTCTGCACGACTGAGCCATGTGCTGCCGATGCATCATGTCCGCTCGACGTCCGTCTGCCCGTGTCGATGCGCCTCTTCCGCCGCTTGCTGAGGCGATTCGGCCTGGAGAAGGAGGTCAATGAGAACATGAGAGTGAGGGTCTAGTGGTGTCGATCTGTTGTGTCCTCTACTGTGCTGTGTGGTGTGTTTAGTGACTGGTTGTCGATCTTGGCAAGCCCCCTTGTAGCCAGCTGGCAGGGAGGCAGGCCGAGTTCTCTTCACATGTATGAGATGTGTGTGGTCGGACGATATATGTGATGAATCATTGACAGGTGTGCGACAGGTCCCTCTCTTCCATCCATCCATCCATCCATCCACTCACTCACTCACACGAATGTGCGAAGGATATGCACATCTGTCTCTCCATCCATCCATCCGTCGCCTGACTGTCTGTCTGTCGTGTCTCTCAGGTAAGTGTGCTGCGCACCGCATTCAGCTGCTGAACATACACGCACGCGCGCACACACACATCTACATGGCCACAATGGCACTATGAAGCATGTCGGCTCACAGCCCATTTAGTGCATCGATCACTATGGCCACGGCAGCAGCAGCAAACTCAGGGGGGGCAACAGCTACCACTAGCTGAGTGACCGAGAGAATCACTCGCCCGCTCAGGCAGACAGGGAGGGAGGGAGGGGTTGGGCTCGCTGCTTCACTGATGTGTCTGGTGTGTCTGTAGTAGTAGTAGTAGTCGTGACTTAACTTTGCTGTTAATGGATGGAGGTCTGTGGGCGTGCCGTTCTTTGCTGGCTGTATGTATTTGGCGTGTGGTGTGCTCTCGGGTTGTTTGCTCCCATAGTCTGGGCGGGCCGGGGGGCCGCGAGGGGCGTGTGACGGACCTCAGGTGTTTGTGCGGTGTTTGTTTGGTCATGTGTATCACCCACTGTGACTGATCGATGAGTGTAGCCAGCATTGAGTGCACTTATGGAATGGACGTCACACACAATTGTGTCGATGTATGTGTGTGTATGTGTGGAGACACGTAAGCTTCAAGTGTGTCGGTCCGAAACGTCAACTCAATCGCCCACTCACCGCTAAGCCACCCACCCCCACCCAGCTAGCTATTCTACTGCAGCACGCCAGCCACCTCGCCTGAGGGAAAACAATATGGACGTGAAAACCCGTCATAAAGGCAGACATGCAGCCTCTCATAAATGTGTGTGTCTTGTCTACCCCTCCTCCCTCTCCCCCCGACTATCACCCTCCAGCTGGCCGTCCCCCTCTCCACCGCCATCGCTGTCTCCATCGCTACCGATATCATCATCCGCCCCCACATTCGTCTCCACCTCGTCGGCCTGCACCACCCGGATCACACCCGCCTCAATCAAGGCCTCCAATCGCTGTGCGTCGACGCGAGTAGGGAAGTGGCTTATGAGACACACGATCGCCTGAATGAATGAAGGGCACACTGACAGTGGGTATTCCTGCTACACGTGGGGCTACCTGTAGTGCGACTCCCATGTCATTGTATGTCTGCAGCTCGACTACCTTGTCCACACCGCCCGCCTGCGTGAAACGTAATAGAGGACAGCTGTGTAAATGGTGGTTATTTCCCGTCATTCTCTCTCTTGCTCGCTCACCTGGTCCACTAGAGTGGAGTAGGGGTTGTCGGGGAGGCCCTCGTGGCCTGCTTCTGACGACCCGCTCTGCACACACAAAGGCAGCACACGTCGGGTATCACAGAGGCGGCAGCTTGTTGACCTACCTTAGTATCTTGTCCAGCAACCAGAGCATGGCTGTAAGTCGATTGTCATTCTCGCCGTCGAGCAGGCCACTGATGGGCTGGATGCCGCCGCACTCGACCACATGCTCAACCTGAATGATTGAACGAGGAATGAACACACACACAGACAGGCCCGTGAGTGTGGGGCTGTTCAGCGGTCAGCGTAGGCACCTGTCGCTGCGAACCTCCTCGGACTATATTTCCGATGATCTTCTCTGCTATCTTCTTCAGGTTGGGATCAGTCTTCTCGCCAGCCGCCAGGTCGACCAGCAGAGGCACCAAATCAGCATCGATGACGGCCTGTTTGTGTGCAGTGGTGCCTGTAATTAATTGATACACACTCACGTGACGTTCTTGCAATCAGTGAGTGTGTGTGAATCATTCAGTGTGTCTGTCTTACCCGTAGTCATGCAGTGCACTATCATGTACCCGATGGATTTCGCGTGTTTGTCGGCCAGAAGTGTCCCCATCGACGCCACGGCGCCATGCTCCACAAGAGCATCTCGATCGGCATCGGTACCTGAGCATATAGGACAAGCGGACCATGCACTGCACCTCAACGATCTCTCAGGCACTTAGGCATACTGACCGTCTTCCTCAACACACACACTGTATTGCGCCAAGGCTCCTCGTGCGGACTGCAGCACACGGTCGTCCTGCTCAGGCGCGGCGATGAGACCGACCAGCACGGGCACGAAGGGGGCCAACTCGGCCAGAGGGATGGGGAGAGGCTCGTTCTCGGCGACACTCCAAAGGTCGTACACCAGGCGGGCACTCCAGGTCAGCACATCGGTGTCGCTGCTCTCGCGCGTCACCGGCAGCAGGGGCTGCAGGACGCCCGCCGCCACCACGGCATCGCGACGGTCCACCGATCCCTCCATGATCATGCGCAGCGCCGCAATCGCCGCCAGGCGCACACGGTCGGTGCCTGACGACACGAGCTGCACCAGGGGCGGGACCGCACCCGCATCCACCACCGCCGCAGCATGATCAGCCGCCAGCATGCTTAGGGCCAGAACTAATGTTGCTGGTATCTGCATCTCCTCGCACTCACTCAGCTGCCCTACCAAGGCAGGCACCACACCGGCATCTACGGCTTTCTGCCCCACGATGTCGCACATGTGCTTGGTGGACAACGGTCGGAGGAGCTTCGACACCCGAACCTGCGGACCACTTGCCGATGCTAGCAGCTGGCAAATGTCGGCCATGACGGCGGTGATCTCGGCCTCGACGGGATCCAGCCCGCGCTGCTGGACGGCCTCGTCGTACGCCTCTTTGGTGTGGATGGCATCGCAGAGCTTGCCCACTTTGGCCAGCACTGCTTGGGGCGATGGATGGCCAGCTGTGGTCTATGCTGTGCTGCCCGCCGACTCCATCGCCTCACAGCTGCGAGAAACAACATCCATACACACAATGTGTAGAATGGCCCGTGCCCGCTCCGCTTTAGCCATCTGACCTGGTCAGTGCTCGGCGGCCCTTCGCTTCGGTGCTGAATGGTCCGCTGCCACCCTGCTTCCGACGCAGATCTCACAGCTCACATCTGCAGAATCAAAGACACCACGAAATGACATGGATCAGGGCTGCCCGTGGATGCCTTCTGGTCCGTTGCTCATGGCTGCTCACTCACCGACAGAGATCTCCTCCACGGCCCGCGAGATGGACGCAGCCCGGCAACACGCAAGGCACTCAACGCTAAAAGAGAACACAGCACGCCTCTGAAGGGGGCTGGCGGCTCACGGGAAGGACATCTCCGTCACCGGCTTCCGAAAACGCCTTCACTTCCTCCCCTTTCAAGCTCGCATCCATCCTAGGCCCTTTTCGTCGCTCTCAGCGCTTGTGATGCCTTCCAGAGGGCAGCTGGAGCCCCATCAGACACAAAGTGATGGTTTCAACTCATCGCTGAGGCCCATCGCAGGGCATCATGGCGGCAGTCATCACGGTGAGGCGAGCAGGACAATAAACGAGCGGGAATGCCGGATGACTGATCAATCAAGAGGTGTTCTGTGTTCGGCTGTCTGACAAACAGGTCGGTAACATGACATGGCCGCAGCAGAGAGGTACGCCCGACGTCCACACAACACACGACAGATGCACTCAGAGGTGTGCTGTGATGTCTGTCGTGTGTTGCAGCCGTGTTGGTGGACGGGATGGTCAAGAGAGCGGCGTCGATGGGCTGCCGCGACGCGACCGTCCTGCGGGCGGTGCGGCTGCTGGACGTGTGCCTCGCCGACAAACTCATCGACACGAACGACGCATCACAGGCAAAGAGATCTGAATGACAGACAGAGGGTAAGGACTCATGGGATGTGTGTGTCACTTGACTGGCTGCTGACACACAGGTAGCAGTTGTGTGTGTGGCTGCCTGCGTGAAGCGGCTGGAGCCACACCTGCTGATGGACGACATGCCGGATGACCCCACACACACACAGGTATTGAAACACAAACATAGACACAGACACGCACACGACGCACACCTGTGCAGCGCCGACCTGTCTGTCTGTCTGTCTGTCTGTCTGTCTGTCTGGCTCTTTGTGTGCAGGTGGTGGGTCGTGCGGTTGATAGCTCTGTGTGCGGCATTGGGTGTGTAGAGAAGCTGTTCACTGCTGCCGCCATGGACACCCACGGCCGCCTGTTTTCATTCGCCAAATACCTCATGGTCAGTCTGTCCGCCAGCCACACACAGACACCTCCAGCCATCGAATGGCTTCTCCCTGTCTGTCTGTCTGTCTGTCTGTGCAGTTCTTGTCGATGTGTGACGTCGATTTGGCCGGGTGCGATGTCCGTCTGCTGGCCGCCACGGCCGTCTACATCACACGCAAGACCAACCAGAAGCAGATAGCGGGCGGCATCTGGGTGAGCGAAAGCGACACGTGTCACGGCCTATCTATGGCCTGAGTGGGTTTGTGTGTCCCATTGTTCATTGTCAGAGTGCGGCCCTTGTGAGTGAGAGTTCGGTTAGCGAGTCGGCGCTGCAGTCGAGCGTGACGACGTTGAGGATGCAGCGGCTCATGTGGGGCGACACACAGACCACCAAAGGGGTGAGCATGTCAGAAGACCAGTGTGTGTGTTTTTATTTTTAGAATCGCCAACACAGCACCGTGTTGATGTCGGTGTCTGTCGTTTGTGTGGTGTGTGCAGATCGTGACCGATGCAGTAGACGAGCTGTTCGCCTCGCCCGACCGCCACGGCGTCGCATCGTCCCGCAGCCACCCGCAGCAAGAGCAGCAGCCGCGTTGTCAGGTGGGTCTGACACAACCGACCGCCATGCACCAGATGGGCCTTGTGAGTGTATCGATCTGCATTGTTACGTGTGTGTGCGATCTGCAGGGGGGCAGCCAGGAGCACCCCGTCAGCCACTTGTTCGTTGGCAGCCGAGGCCATTTGCCCGACATCGTCACGGCGGCCCGCCACAGAGCCACATCGCGGCGCATCCAGGCTGCCTTCACCATTGCTGAGCTGCGCAACCGCCTCGCCAACTCACTGAGCCGTGATGGCCACGGCATCAACACCCCACAGCTGCAGCTGGTGCGGTTCGACCCATCGCTGGGGATGGGTGACCTCATGGCGGCCGTGTGGATAGCCGAGGAGGGCGGGCGGTGGGATGAGACGGGGGAGGTGCTGCAGCTGGCCAGTCAGTGCCGCTACTGTGAGCTGCCCCTCAACCTCACGGCCGATGACATCAACACACACGCCAACAAGACGGTAAGGCACACACAGAGGGGCGGGGAGAGAGCAGAGAGGACTCATCCTCTCTGTCTGTGTGTCTGTCTGTCTGTCTGTCTGTCTGTCCGTCTGCGTGTGGTCCGGTGTAGGCATATGGATCGTTCCCCCGTGTGTTGGCGCAGCTCATGGTGGTCGGCCGCCACGTGGACTTCGGTGACGGCAGCCGCTTGCAGATCTTCCGTCATGCCAATGGTGAGGTGCGGGCCATCAAGGACGAGCCCGGCTTCCGGCTGGACGTCGACCCGCCCCTCGCCGCCGGCCATCTGTATTAGCGGCACCGACAGCAGCATGACCCACCAGTGCGTAGCCGCATCCACTACTTTTTCCAGCACAGCGAATGGGAGTCGGGCCATCTCCCGACCACCGATGCGTCATTGTCGTCGTTCGCCAAGCACAAGATCCTCAGCTACTTCTACCAGACTCATCAGATCAATCGCACATCGATATCACTCAACAGGTACCACATCAATGGCGCCAGTGGCGAGAGGGGTGCGTGTGTGATTGTGTGTGTGCGTATGTGGTTGGTTCAGGTATGTTGGCGGCGGCCGTCTGGATGGCCTCCTGACCCAGTCGCCCCACACACCAGTGGCCGGGTGCACCACCATATTCATCCGGGACGGTGAGGTGCGGTTGCTGGTGCTGACCAACAGCAGCCACAACTTCGTCGCATGGACTTTGATTCAGGATCTAGGAAACAACTACGGTAAGGCCGAGAGACAGGCAGCTCTGGTGGTCAATGTCATGTATTCTTTTCTTTCTGTCATTCCTCTGTCTGACTGTCTGCAGTGGACGTTCGTGTCGCGACGACCGAGGCACCTGTGGTTGGTGCTGGTGGTCCCTTCAAGCATCGCTTCCCGGTCACCACTCAGCTGGCCCGTGTGGCGCTGGGGTCAGGTGTGGCGCAATATGTCTTCGACGGCCAGGTAGACGATGACAGCGACGATGACGACAGTGACGATGGTACGGACAGGGAAGAGACGGAAGCATGTGAGTGAAAGCGTGTGTGGTGGATGGGCCTTCTGTGTGTGTGGTGTGGACGGCAGTGATGGTGACGATATGGCTGACGGCAGCGGAGGTACCAACAGAGGAAGAGAGGCACACACATCTGGTGGCAATCCGCAACACACGTGTGTGTGTGTGTGTGTTTATTTGACAGGCGAGGACGCCGCAGCTGAGGAGGAGAACGGCGCTGACGACACTGCATCGCTCGGATGACCAACCAACAAAACAGTACCGGTACGCCACAAATGGCTTTGTCAGGTCAATGGATTGATGGATGTCGTGCCCCCTGTGTGTGTGTGGCTGTGTGGGTGTCCAGGAGGTTATCTGTGGCTGGATTGCTCACAACGGACTCCGTAGCTAGCTGCTGCCGCTGGCCCACCGATGCTGGCTGGCTGTGGGCTGTGGGCTGTCATGTCTTCAAGTCACCCGCACACATCACATGGATGGGCCCCTCTGTGAGGCGTCGGTGTCTGCGTTGCCGTCTGCAGAGCTGTGTGTGGATGTAGCCCTCCCCCCCTCGATCCCTTCACTCTCCTTGTCTCCTCTCTATATACATATCTGTCCTACGGGTCGCCTGGCTGTGGGTGTGGGTGCCGCGGACGATGGGGACTGACTGACTGGCTGCATCACTTCTCAATCATTGTGTGCGTGTACAGCCCCCTCTCATTGCAATGGATGGACTCGGTGTATTCGTATGCGTGGCACATGACGGACAGCAAGCGAATTCATCAACTATCAATTGCCGCCAGGCATACACTGGCCATCTATCCATCCAATTATCATGGACTAATCTATCTGTCTGTCTGTCTGCCTGTCTTATGCCTCGCCGCCCGCCCCCTTCCTCGCTGACGCAGACAGACTCATACACACCCTCTCGCTCTCTTCGTGCCTTCGCGGCTGTTCGCCCGCCGCCACGATAGATTCAAACAATCAGACTGGTGACTCACAAACACACAGATACGTCAGGGGTGAGAGAGGCGGTGGCCAGACGGCCTTTTATGCCAAGGGGTACCGGAACATGGCAAGTTTACCGATCTCACAAGAGAGGGAGGCAATACCACTGGCCGACACGAGTGGCAACCTCTACGGCCCTCGCCTCAAGGACAACTGGGGCGAGTGGCGGATCGTACAATAAGATAAACAGAAGAGGTTCCACTCCATGGAATGCCCGCCTGCTGGCTGATTCTGTGTGGTCAGGTTGAGTGCGGCCACCTTGCAGGAGTACAAGAGGCTGATGAGAGCGGCGAAGCAGGCTGGCCGCGACACATTGACCGAGGAGGAGTGGGGCCGTGGCGGGCTGCGGCTGAGCATGAGCAAAGGCTGGATCCACATGGGGCATCCAGGGTATGAGGATCCACATGTGGACACGACCAGGCTGGATGGCATCCAGCCAGCCAGCCACTGCCATCCATTCATCCGATGTTCGCGCTGTCTGTCTTGTCCCTGTGTGTCAATCAACGGGTGTCAGCAAGGAGCCCAACGTGCTCCTGTTCGGCCGCCCGACGCCTGGCGGCAACCCCGGCTACTAACTGAAGAGGAGCGAGCACTACACCTCTGAACGGCCAGTTTCTTTCTTTCGACGGCACTGTCTGCTGGCGTGACGGGAGGGGAGGCAAGAGAGGGTGGGTGGGGGAGGAAGGGCTGGTATATAAGGGGTGGGTGACCTAACTGTCTCAAGGCTTCTTCTTTCCGTGTGTGCTGCATGGTCTGTGTGTGGCGCGCGTCACGGGTGGATGGTGAGTGGGGAACGGTTGGATGAATGGATGGACGTGTGTGTGTGTGTGTGTGTGTGCGCATGATGCGTATGGACGACATCGGGACAGACCATGTGTCGCTCCATTTGTTGAACTAATTCCACCGTCCCCCTCCCCTCTCCATGCGCATCATGGCTGTCTGTCAATGTGATGTGTGAGACCTCTCGCTCACAAGAAGACCCTCACAAAGAGCACAGCAGAGCAAAGCAAAGCATTATCTCGCTCCTGCCAGCAACAAACACACGGATGCATAAGTAGGACCGAAAAATACTCCATCCATCCATCCAGAGAGCCGTCCGTCCAGAGAGCCATTCATTCATGAGCATGTATCTGTGCGCTAGATGAGACGTAAACACCACCACATTAGTGAGTGACACACCGACCCCTCACTAGGCTCGCGAGCAACGGCAAACTTCCCCCCTTATGCAGCAGCCAATCCATCTATCCATCAGTCACTTAGGCGTGTACCGGTGTGGTCTTCTCGTAGCTGCGTGACATCGACCCACCACACGACAGCAGCGCCCGCTTGACAGCCAAGTCCACCGACGGGAAGAAGTGCGTGTAGCCGTACATCTGAGCCACGTGGCCCCGCTGCAGGTCGTCTCGCGCCGCCGCCTTGGCGTTGGCCACATACAGACGAACTCCCCTCTGTGCACACACAAACATTGCGCATGTGTGTGTGTGCGTGTGTGTGTGTGTGTGGGAGGTCATCCGGGTACTTACCTTTCTGTAGTAAGCGTGGACCTTCTTGAGTACGGCAAGTGCGCTGGAGTCGACGCGCGTGACGCTCGAGAACTCCAGCACGATCGTGTGGACGGCGTTCTCCTGCTCCTGAACCGACAGGACGGGCGAATCCGTCTCCTCCTTGCCGCGTGCCGGGACCGTGGTGGTGGCCTCGACGCCGGTGAAGCCGCCAGCGAGCTTGTACTCTTCGAGAAGACGCTTCTGCCCACACCACACACGCACAGAGAGGAGGGGTCAGGAGGGAATGGGTGTGTGGTTGGTTGGGTGCCTTGAAGAAGTTGCAGTTGGCGAAGTGCAGGTCGGCGTCGAACCGGAAGACCACCACGCCCGGCACGGTCGACGCGATGTCCTTCTTGCGACGGATGTCCCTAAACACAGCACACACAACACACAGCACAACACACATAAGGAACGTTTATATATGGCGTGGCGTGGATGTGCCCGACGCACCCACCGCACCTGTAGAAAGGGTACACCTGGTCCTCCGCCGCTTCAGGGGCTTCAGACGGGGCACCCAGTTTGTGCACACGACCTGCAGCCATCCATCCATCCACACATGTGCTGACACACAAGTGTTGCTGGTGCGTGCGTGTCCAAGTAAGTACCCAGGACAGCTGTGTATGGGAATGCCGACTGGTGGATGATGAGTATGATGGAAATGCCGATGCCGATGAGGATGCCCGTCTCCACTCCCAGGGTCAGCGTCAAGATGAACGTCGCCATCAGCGTGCAGAAGTCGCGCTTGTTGACATGCCACAGATGCACCTGACACACACAACCCATCCATCCATCCGTCCATCACGCCCATCGCCGTGAGTGAACCTGCCGACCACACCCACCATTTCCTGCCAGTCGAAGAGCCCGACGACGGCGAATATCACAATGGCGCCGAGAGAGGGTTTTGGCAGGTAGTAGAAGAGCGACGTGAGGAAGGCCAGCACCAGCGCCAGGACCAGCCCCGTTATCAGCGACGCCAGGGGCGTCTTGGCACCCGCTGCCGCATTCACGGCCGTGCGGCCAAAGCCGCCTGATACCACACACACACACACACACACACAGAGAGAGAGGCGTGACAATATCTTTCGGTGTCTCGATCTGTGTGGTGGGTGGATGGTGTCACCTGCAGTGGGGTAGCACGAGAACATTGAGCCGAGGAGGTTGCAGGCGCCCAGGGCGATGAGCTCTTGGTTTGGGATGAGCGAGTAGTCGTTCTTGGTCGCGTAGATCTCCGCCACTGCTATCGACTCCATAAACCCTACGAACACACACACACGCACACACACCCCACACCATAGAGCAACAAACGGACTCTTTGCCGCTATGTCTTCTTCTGATACATACCGATGAGAGTGATGGTGCCGCCGGCCACAGCCAGGTCCGCGAACACGTTGCTGTCGATGTCTGGCGCTTGCGCCTTCGGGATGCCGTCGGGTACCGCTGCGATGATCTGTTGCAAACACACCCACACAGATAATGCGGGAAGGCGTATATCTGCGTGGGTGGGTGGTTGGGCGTGTCAGTGTACCTTTATTTTTGCTGGCTTGTTCTGGAAGCCGGCCGCCCAGGTGATGAGTGTGGCGAAGATGATCACCAGCAGCTGCGAGGGCAGCCGACGGATCCACTGGAACTGAGGAAAGGACACAATGATCCAAAAGGGGTCTCTCTCTCTCTCTCTGCATAGACGGGCATCTCTGTGTGCTGTTTGGCTTTGGCTTTGGCATACTTTGGGGTGTTTGACAAAGAAGTTGCGTTTGAACAGCCACAGGACAAATATGACCAGCACCCCCATCAGGAACGACTGCCAGCTGAAGTCCTCGGCCCCCTCAATGATCGACTCAAAGCTCTTCTGGATCGTGCCCTTGTCCACCTGGTTGGTGACAATTGACGACACACATACATACACACATACACACGGCTGCTGGCTGCAGAGATGGTTCTCACCTGGTATCCGACAACGTGCTTCAACTGTGAGAGGCCGATGATGATGGCGCCCGCAGAGGTGAAGCCGCTGGCCACCGGGTGGCCCAGGAAGTTGACCAGGAACCCCAGGCGAAACAGACCCAGGCCCAGCGAGTAGATGCCAACCTGACACGACACACGCGGCACAACACAAGAGTGCAGGGCAGGGCCGTACAGCTGTCTGTGTGCTCACTCACTGCTCACCTACCACGAAGGCGAGCGCAATGGCCCTTGATGTGTAGAGGGGATTCTCATTGCCGTCAGACAGCTTGGGGTCGATGCCCAGCTCAGAGATGGCCTCTGCAGTCAGGATCGACACGATGGCTACGGGACCCACAGCAAGCTGCCTGCAATGCACCGAAAGAAAGTGCGCACAGAAACGCACTCATTGATTGTGTGCAAAGAGAAGGAGACGAGGGGAGGGGGCAGTGGGAGACTGACTGACCGTGAGCTGCCGAGTAGTGCGTAGACGATGGTGGAGACCATGGCTGAGTAGAGGCCGTACACGGGCTCCAGGTTGGCAACCAATGCGTAGGACATGCCCTGATCGATACACACACACACACACAGAGCGATAGACACACAGCCGCTTTCACGATGGATGGATGGATGGATGGATGGTCACCTGAGGGACGAGAAAGCATGCTGTGGTGATCCCCGCGACGAGGTCGCCGACGCCGTCCTTCCGCCAGTTGTACGTCGGCAGCCAGCCACCGATAGGCACATACTCGCGCCAACACCACAGACCTGTGCAAACACAAGAAACAAACATCCTTTGTGCGTGCGTGTGGTGTGTTGGGCTCTCGTGTTAGCCCACCAATCCACTCACCTACGGCTTTGAAATCGTCCCATCTCTTAGGAAAGTGCTGGAGCGGCCTGAACTGCTTCTTGCTCGGCAGGTCGTGAAAGTCGTTCAGCAGCGCGGTCACGTCACTGATGACAGACATACACACACACGGACCGATGCGATGGATCCACGGATCAGGATCAGGCAACAACTACACAGTTCGTGTGTGAGTGGGTGCGCTGCTCACCCTGAGATCTCAGCCTGGACAGGCGAGTCGCCGGCCGGGTGGCCGTCAGGGGGGGCACTCGCCGTGTCGGGCACGGCCAGACACACATCGTTCTCTGCCACACACCAGACACACACGCACACACGCACAGACACACATACACACAGAGAGCCGGGAAAAGGGAATTTCGATGTGTTCGTGCCTCTATCCCCCTCCCTGCATGGTGCTTACGGGTGATGGTGACCTTCTTGTCGTCGGCCTCCCTCCCCTCCCCCGCCCCATTCATCCCCGGACTCGCACCGCCATGGGCATCGTCCCCTTCCCCTTCCCCTTCCCTCACTGCCGCATGGTTACGCACACTCTGGGCAAGCTCCCTGTACAGCTCGTCTTCCTGCGCCCGGTCCTCTGGCTGCTGACTCATTTCAACGGTATCTCGCTGAAGATGCGATTGTCAGCGGGGTGATCTCGGGTGTCAGACATGAGTGATGTGATTGAGAGAGTTCACCGGGCTCTGCTTCTCGGAGCAGCATTCGGTGAGCTGGAAGTCCCAAAAGAGGTGAAAGGATGCTATCGCTTTCGGGTTAGAGAGCAAAGAAGGGTTAAACGGAGGAAGCGCTTCGATCGAAGCATAAGTTGAGTTGCCGCCCTTCCAGGAGGCCCAGGATGTGCAGGGTCTGCCAGGGCCATGCACGTGCCACGGCTTTATCGACAGATCTTTGCCAAGATGCCGTGTCAATGACGCACACACCCTCCCCTTCGTGAACACCCCCTCTGACCACCCCTGCACCATGAGTCTGGCCCGCAAGACGCCCTCGATGGAGCGGTCGTCCTCCAGCTGCCGCGCGACTACCCCTGACCCGCCATGCACCTCGATGCTCAGGAGGGACGCACCCGTGTCGCAGCGGACGTCTTCCTGCCTGCAGGTGGGACGGGGTGGGGAGGAGAGGGGGGCGGGGTAGCTGTGGGTGATGGTCTCACTGAGGCTGCCTGCACTGGTCGTGAGACGTCCTGTCGCGGTTGCACCTCTCACTCACGCCTTTCTGTGTGTGTGTCTCGTGTCAGATGTTGAGTGACCTGCTTGGCGGGGAAGCCCTGTACAGCCCATCTACCGACCCCTCGCACCAGCGCATGATCCCCTCAGCGCCACAGTCACCCCCATCGCCCAGCAGCCCTCACTCGCCCACCCTTTCTCGCTCAGCAAGTGTGCCTCACGACGATGCCACTGACGCCAATGCCAATGGCGGCGAAGCTGACGAGAGCCGGCCGTTCTCTCTGTCGAGGTGGCTGTCCTTCCGCCGCTTCTCGTCGCCGAGAAGCGATGACCACCACCAGCACCAGCACCATCCTCATCACGACAGCTGTCGTGAGCGGTCGGTGTCGTCTCATTTGCCGGTGGTGGACGAGCAGCGCGAGTATGCGAGTGAGGTCATGACCACTCCCTACTGCCCGTCGGATCACCATGGCGAGAGGGATGGGTATGAGGCCGGCAGGGCTGCCGTAAGGTTCAGAACCGCCAGCGAAGAGTCCAGCTGGTGAGAAAGGACGTGTGGCGTCTTGTGTGCATCTGTGTGTGTGAGTGTGTGTGTTGCTGTTGTTGTTGCTGTTGTCAGGTCTGGTTTGACTGTGGTGGGCAATTTGTCCACATCGTATGTGCCGAGCGAGCCAGACGTCGACCGCACTCTTTCCGAAGACGACACAGGATGGTACCTACCAGTACACACACACACACACACACACACAGACAACTACCTACACATCCCTGCCGGCCGTTTTCACCTCTCACAGGCACCCTTCCTCGTTCAGCCCCATGCCGCCCCCCCCATCAGTGGCCACACCCACCCCCCAGCACACAGCAGAGCCCTCAGAGATCGACCAGCTGCTGCACTTCGCCGGCTGCGGCGGCACTCGCCGGTCGTCATCATCGCCATCGCCATGCCACCCCGACGAGGCGTCGAGCGGCTCATCATCGCGCAACGCGCCCTTCCTGGGCGGCCTGTTTGACTCATTTCTCTCGGATGGGACGCACGGCAGCTTCGAGACGGAGGTGTACCGGCCGTCGGTCGATGCTGGCGATGAGCATGACCATGACGAGTGGGAGGAGGAGGATGACGCGAGCGAGAACGAGGCAGCGGACGACGCGTAAGCTGGCCGCCGGAAGATGGACAAAGACATGTTTGGATGGTTCTGTCATCTCTGTATGTGTGTGTGTGTGTGTGTGTGTGACAGGATGAGTGTGAAGTTTCTCTTTGCCTCGCCGCTGACGATGTGCGGCCCGGACGGTCAGCTGTGCCCGCTTCCCCCGCTCGACTGGTACGAGGAGCTCCGCACTCTCGAACACGCCTTCCAGACCGCAGGCAGGAGCGACGTCGCTATCGAGGTACACGCCCAGACGCACAGCACGTCTCACAGCGGGTTGCCCATTCATTCATTCTGTGTGTGTGTCTCGTGTGTTGGTTGTGTGGATGGGATCGCTCAGGCAAGTGTTGCGACCACGGCTGCGCTGCGGTCCTTGCTGACGCTCGGCGGCGGGCAGCTGCTGCACCTGTCCGCACACGGGCTTGAGGGTGGCCTCGCCTTCGAAGACGGCAGGTACTGTCCCCATACAAGGGCCATGACGCACTCGATGCACACGTGCAATCTCTGTCTGTCGCTTGTGTCTCTGCGTGGCGGGGTTTGGTTTGTCAGGGGGTCGGCGCACGTGGCGACGCCTGCTTTCTTCCGGACTCTGCTGGAGGCCGTGTACAGCGGTGCCTCGTCGGTCGACGATACGGATAACGCTGAGGGCTGCTCGTCAGATGTGCAGTGAGCACCTACACACACAGAGAGAGAGGGGGGGTATGTGTTTGCTTTGCTCATGGCTGACGTGTGTCTGTCTGTGTGTCGGCCGACAGGTTGGTGTTTTTGAACTGTTGTCATTCTTATGAGATCGGTGTGGCCATCGCGTCCGCCGGCATCCCACACGTCATCTGTGTCAGCAACACCGTACAGGTAGGTCAACCCCTCTCCGCCTCTCCCCCACACACATCCTTCTGGGCTGGGTGCATCATCCATGTGGCTGCATTGCATTCTCTCTGCTTTGCGCAGGACCAGGCGGCTCGTCAGTTCACGGCGGGTTTCTACCTGGCCCTTGCGTCCGGAAAGGACGTGGGCGTGGCCTACATGCTGGGCAGGGCGGCCGTGCAGTCGGCGCCGCACAACTACAACACAGACGCAGAGAGCTTCGTGCTGCTCCCACATGACGGCAACCACTCACAGGTCAGATTAGAGTAAGGGCGTCTCTCTGTTCCTCTGCATGTGTGTGTGTGTGTGTGTGTGTGTCTCAGGTGCTGTGTCCATCGGCAAGCAGCAGCAACAGCAAGCCACGCCCGCGCGACGACCCACGCCCGCCATCCCTCTCGCCGCCCTCCCCCTCCGGCCAATCACAGCACTCCACACACAACAACAACACCTGGCTGTGCGAGCGGAGCAAACCTCCACGTATGACGTCAGGCGAGTCACCAGGGGGGCCGGGACCGGTGTGCTCGTCGGTGCCGTGCTCGCCCGGTGGCAGCGGTGGTCTGTCGCTGTCACTGCCGCCGTCTCTGATGGCGCTGCCAAGTGGCCATCCCAGCATTGTGCTGCCGCACCTTGCTTCGAGCCCGCTGCTGCAGAGATGGCAGCAGAGCAGATGCCCGGTGAGAGACGGAGAGGGAGAGAGAGAGAGAGAGGCATGGATGAGTGTGTCTGATGCATGCATGTGTCTGCAGGTCATTCGCCAGCTGCCCATCGTGTTCGGGTGGATCGGCTTTGGCAGCACGCCCGACGACCAAGCTCACTCCATCCCAGCAACCACACTCCCTACCCCTGCCCCCACACCCACATCAGCCCAGCAACCGTCGCTCATGTCGCGCCTGTTCGGCATCCAGCGATCCGTCAGCACCGAGCCAGCCCCCTCCGTCACTGGGACAGAAAGGCGGAAGCCAGCTCGCAGGGTGTCATGCTTCGTCAAGCGGCACCTCCCCCAGCCCCCAGAGGATTTCGTGGGCCGCACCTTGGACGTGTGGGTGGTTTTGCAGCTGCTGGACCGGAGGCGGCTGGTGCTGCTGCATGGCGAGGAGGGGGTGGGCAAGACGGCTGTGTGTGAGGAGGTGAGTCGGTACTGCGCGTTGCGGGGGGAGGAGATCTTCCCCGGGGGCGTCATTTTCCTGCGCCTGGCGCCGTTGAGCAACCTGCCGCTGAGCGTGGAGGGGTCGTCATGCGGGTATAGAGTGGTCAAGGAGACCACCAACATTATACACAACCTTCTAGCAACAGGTGCGCACAAGGGACAGCAACCACACACCACACAGACACACAGACACACAGACACGTCTCACATGGCATCTCCCTCTCTCTGTGTTCGGTTCATCAGTGCTGGAGGTGCCTCAGTTCCCGCCTGGCCATCGTCGCATCAAGCACGCATCGTCGGCGCGTGATAGGGCTGCGTCTGAACACACTGTGGAGGGCGGCAGCTTCGTGAGCGATGAAGGCGAGAGCAACGTCGATCTGGAGGGATGGCGGTGGCGCGAGACGGTCCGTGTGCTCACCGAGCGGCTGCGAAAAGGTGAGACAGAGAGAGGAAAGGAAGGTTGTCTCCGGCAACACGTGTCTGTGTCCTCTCTGTGTGTGTGGTGTTGGCAGGTCGTTGCCTGCTGGTGTTGGATGGGGTGGACGATTTCCTGAAGGCCGGCGGGCTCCAGGCGGTGCTCACGCAGCTGCTCCTGGGCGACGTGCACAGCGTCCTCAACCACGACCTCCACCCACACATGACCGAGGGCCTCGAGGGCCTGCACATCGTCGTCTCCGCCCGAACCTGCTCCCTCTCCACCCGACCCAACTACCCCCCTCTCCCACACCACAAGGCCTCCACCCTCCCCAACAACACTGATGGGCCATCCGACGACACGAGCAGAAAGCCCATTCAGCTGATAAGCGAGGGCAAGGTCAAAGTGGTGTCCCAGGAGCTGATGCCCCTGGACAGGGCGGCGTCGGCGGACCTTTTCCTGCGACGGGTGGGCCGGCCGCTGTGCGTGCGGGATGTGAGTGGCCGCGGCGGGTCATCGGGCAGTGGTGGAGGGGAGGGTGGCGTGCTGGGGAGGGACGAGGCGATGGACCGGCTGATGCAGCACCCCATCATGGAGCGGCTCAAGGGCAACCCTAGGTGAGTGGAATGGTGCACGGTGCTGCATTGGCATCGGTTCTCGTGTTTTGTGATGCCCATGGTCTGTCTGTCTGCTGCGTGTGTCTGTGTCTGTGTGTGTGTGTGCGTGTGTGTGTGTGTGGCCAGGTCGATCATCGAGATGGCTCAGCTGGTGACGCCGCAGCTGGCGAACCTAGCGGCGCTGATCTCATACCAGGAGTGACATTAGCTACACACACATGGATGGCTGGATGGCTGGATGGAGGGAGGGAGGGAGGGGCGAGAGATGCTCGGTGAATGCGTGGGTGGATGGGTGCATGGTGGATGATGCGAGAGCACAATGTATGTGTGTTCAGATGTGATTTTTCTCCCTTGCTGGATTGTGAATACGGACGGGATCGGGCGGTGGCATGGGGCTGGGCGGGAGGGTAGGGATGGTGAGCGTGGTGCGGTAACTATCTCAATCTCTATCTCTATCTATGGATGTATGGTATGGCTGATTTATGCGATCGTCGTTGGCCACCCTTTTTTGCCCTCAGTTGTGGGGAGCTGCTGTGTTTCTTCTTCGCATCGCCTCTTCGTGTGTCGTGCCGTTCATGTGTGTGGTGTGCGTGCCTTCTTTTTCTCGGCTGTTGTGGCCCATACAATACATGACATGAATCGATGTTTACAGAACAGAGAGGGGCAGAGAGAGAGGGGCAGAGAGAGAGAGAGGGAGCTTCTCTGAAAGAGAACGGACAGACGAGAGACATGGGAGAGAGCGAGGGAGGGAAAACTTACTTGCCTAATGCTCATGTGATGTGATGTGATGTGATGTGATGTGTTGTCATGCTGGTTAGGGTAAGGGATGAGGAGGGAATTGTGGGCAGTGGTCGCCATTGACCAGATGCCTTTCCTCAGTCAGTCAGCGCTACAGTACCTGCCTGCCTGCTTGATCGAAGTGCGATATACGGATGGATAGATAGGATAGGTGGAGGTTTTGTGGTGGTCCAGTCCATACCTAACGCTCCTGCATACGTGTGTGTACGTGATGTCGATCTGGGTGTGCGTCTGGTGGTGCTGTTGGTGAGATGTAGATTATGTGGTGTTGCTGGCTGCCTGGGGTCCTTCCTCTCTCCCCCTCGATCCATCCATCCACCCTCTACTACACTCCTCTCCTACCATCTTGCGCAGTGAATCCTACCTTCCCCTCTCTCTGTGCCTGCCTGCCTGCCTGCCTGTCTGTCTGGCTGACTGTGTGTGCGTCTGTCTGTGTGCCTGACAGAGAGAGAGAGGGAGAGAGAGAGAGGGTGATGGGCCGTACTCTTCTTACTCTTAGGACGTGGGTAGGTCTGTCTGTCTGACTGTCTGTCTGTCTGGTGCAAGTGTACTTGACTGACTACACTCACTCACTGATGACCGACTGACTCAACCAACGATTCACATCCACGGTTCATACAGCTATTTGTCATCCCGGCGCACACACGCCCCCACCTCACGCACACATACACCCACGTACAACCAATGCAGCACAATTGCATGGGATTTTTCACCTACGCGTTACCAAGGCAGACTAGAGGGAGGGAGGGGATGAAGGAGAGGGGGAGAGAGGCGTCATGACAGCCGAGCTACAGTGGGGAGGTTGACCGCCGGTGTGAGTCCCGATCAGACCATTGTGCCTCTCTCACTTCTGCGTTGGTGTTGTCGGCTCGCTTGGCATTGCCAGCCTGAGTGGGCCGCCAGCACCGGCACGCAGGGCAGAGGAGACGATGCCGATCGGCTCTCGACCGTCACCTGCTTTCGTCGCGATCGATGTGTCCCGTATGGTGTCGTTATGTACTGCATCTCTGTGGATGATGTGCCCTTCGACGCCGTCACGCAAGTGTCTCCCAGCATGCTGTCAACGTGCAGGGGGACACTTACGCGAGGTGATTGAAGAGTAGATCAGCCATGCGATGGTGTGGACATGCACACGTCACTGTGGACATGCACACGTCACTGCTAGAGAGAGGGGGGTTCACACATTCATCTTAAATGCGTCGCAGTTGATCTGTCTGTCTTGTCTGTCTGTCTGTCTGTCTGTTGTGTCCACTGGCCTACCTGTCTTGCTGTCTTCCCTCTCCCCTTGCTGCTTCCCCTTCTTACCGATGGTATGATCTGAGAGCGAGAGCGACCCAACCAGAGGCGGGCACTTGCCGTGCGTGCGGTGCCGTCTCGTGAGTGTGGTTTTCTTTGCTCAAGGCAGAAGAGAACCATGTGTGAATTGATGGATGATTGAATCGATTGACGAGTGCGCGTCAGCGCACATCCGTATATGTTCATATCGCAGTGTGTGAGAGCGAGCGAGAGATACGGAACGTCTGTCTGACTGTCTGTCTGTTCTGCATGCACGCACACACACACACACGCGTACGGGGTTTGTGTGGCTTCGTACACTGATTGATGCACTCTGTTGATAGGTTTGCGTTTGCTGGCCGGTGGCACACACCAAAGATCGAAGAGGACAATTTGAGGGAAGGTTGAGATAAGAGATAAGGCGAGAAGAGAAGCGATGATAATTGAGGCTGGTAGGTAGCTGGGTAGGTAGCTTGCTACGTACGTGCATGTCGCGATGCCATTGCATATCATGTGGTGTGGTATGGTTTCTCTATGTTTTTGCGTCCTTGAATATGTGAGGATGGATGGGCTTGTAGAGAGTGTGAGCGTGACTGAATGATCACTGATCACATACGTGCATGTCATTCATTCGGACCCTTGCTGCTATCCGTTACCAACGCGGTCCGCATCCACGCAGCAGAACAAACACCCAATCCCATCCATCCGTCCATCCATCCACCTATCCATCACGACCGTGGTGTGCGTGGCGTCCCAGAGCGCTTCGCGCGCGGCAACGGGTGTGCCGGTGATGGGGATGGGAAGAGCGACGGGCTGGGCCTCGCGGGCGGCAAAGGCGGAGGAGGGGCATTGGCCTGCTTGTCCAACAAACTCAGCGCCTTGGTGCAGCTGGTACGGATCTACACATGCACGCGCAGACACAGATGCATTCGCAATGAGAAAGGCCGTGTCTTCTGCTGACCTTTTCCGTGAGTCGTTTGGCTTGCAGCCGCGTTTCATAGAGCTTGGTGCTGGCCTCCAGCTCCAGCGCACTCTCCCGCTTGGCGTGCAGCTCCTCCAAAGTGTCCAGAAAGTAGCTGACCAAACTACGCGACAACCCCTCTTCCTCTGCATAAAGGCACACACGATGATGGCCAGCGGATGCGTCACTCGCCTCTTCTATGCACCTGCTCGTGTCCGCAGGGCGTATTTGAGCAGTGACGTGAGCTCCTCCCAGTCTATCTCTCCTCCGTCGCCATCGGTGAGTTTCGCCGCCCGTGAGATGTGATCTCGCGTTTGCTCGTCGCCAAGGCGGTCAATATTGGTTCGCAGCCAGCTAATGATGGCCTCCTGACGGGCACAAAGGGACATTTTTTCATCGACCCGTGAGTGTTTACGAATGAAAAGTAAACGAAATTGCCAAAAGTAATCGCGGCGTGTCCCAAATCGACGCAAGCAGATCCACGATGCGGTCGTTCCTCTCTCTTGTCTGTGTCTGCGCATCCCTCCTCGGCTTCGCTCACTCATCCTCTCTCAGACTGCTGTCTGTGTCTTCATCGTCTTCTCAAGACACGGCCGGCGAGGCAGCCGAGGACACTCAAGTTCTCGGCCTCTTGTCGTCCGGAGAGCCGACAGATGCGGCCGCAAAGACGCGTCTGTCGGCGGCGGCTCTCACCCCGTTGACAATTCGTCGACTGGAGTCGAATGTCGTTGAGGGTGCGAACGAGGACATTGAAGAGATCAACAGGAAGGCTCAGGTCGATGCCGAGTGCCCGGGCGGTCGGGACACTCACGCGCCGTGTCCGATGAATTGGACGATGGTCGAGGACGAGAACGGCGACTACTTCTGCCAGGCAGACGAGGAGTATCAGAAGCACGGCCTCTGCGAACCTCGCGTGTCCTTCGAAGGATGGTCAGTCACACACAGTCAGACACAGACAAGCTTCTCTGCCGTCCATCTCCTTTGTGTGTTCTTTGTATGTGCTGTGTCCTTCATCCATCCATCGATCAATTAGGTTGGACGTGACGAAGGCTGAGTGGGCGGCGACGTGCGGGTGCAAGTTCCCGTGTTTGCATGATGACCGCACGTGCAAACATGGGCGCAACTGTGAGGGGGATGCACTGACAAGCCTCCCAGTCGACACTGCTGCTTGCCCTTTCTCTCTCTTTGGGTCTGTGGCTCTGTGTGTGTGTGTGTGTGTGTGTGTGTGATGCAGACAAGGCGCCGTGTCCGGAGCCCTTCGCACCTCAGAGCGACGAAGAGACATGTATGTCTGGCGGCACACAAACAGCGCACATTCCATTGTCTGTCTGTCTGTCTGTCTGTCTGTCAGGCATTCCCATGTTCACTTACCAAGGCCCGTGCAAGAGCCCGATGGACTTCCGCAACTTGAGCATACTCGCCAAGCAGAAATGGGCGCGAGAATGTCAAGCCGACTGGTGGGTCAGCACGTAGGACAGACACAGGATGCCACTCCTTGCCTGCAGGCCGTGTGCGCGTCACTGTGAGTTGGAGATGGACACACTCTGCCCCGAGCGATGGACACACACCGGCAGCCACGAGTGCCACGCACCACCTGACTTCAGGTTCCGTCCAAGACATCCATGAACATATGAATGGCCATGTGTCTGTGTGGATGCGATGCAGTGAGCATCGCGGTGGTCGCTGCAAGAATGTGGTCAACTTTCAATACTGGACACCCAAGATGAAATTCGACTTTGCAGAAAAATGTAAGTTAGCTAGTCCGCCAGACACAGACAGCCAGAGCACCTGTGTGTGCGTATGCATCTATCAGGTTCAGTCGTGTGGCCTTGCGGTCCGTTTCAGTGCATCCGCAACTACACAGCCGTGAGTCAACAAAAGGCTGGCATGCAGCCAGGCAGCGATCATTCCTCTGTGTCTGTGTGAGTGACAGAGAGAGAGAGTAGGAGTGTCCTGCTGGCTGGGTGTACACACCGGAGGACGGCAGCTGTGAAGAGCCGGCCGACATCGCGACCGGCGGCAACACATGCGGCATCAAGCGAAGGTCCTTCCTCCTGCTCGATGAGGGCGACAAGCGGACATCGAGCGGCAGTGCAACCCACTGTTCTTTCCGTGCCAAATCGACGAGTGCCCAATCGACTGGAAGGCACCATGGTGAGACAGACACGAGACAAGAGGGAGAAAGGCACTTCATACATTCGTATCTCTGTTCATCAGCCCCGACCAGTGGAGTGAGGCGGCCAGCGTGTTCGCCAAGAGCGGCCGCGTGTGTCGCCCCCCGCCACACGTGCAGGGCAGCAGCAGCACGAAGAAGGGCGTGTGCACCGCTGAGAGAGACTTCACGGATGCCACCGAAGAGGACAGAAGGCAAGACACAGAAAAGGAGACACACACACATTCACGTGCCCGTGTGTGTGCATATGATTCAGGCGCTTTGCGAGTGAGTGTGCGTCTCCGTGGCCGTGTCTCGTGGCTGCTCCATCCCCAACCCCGCCGCCTGTCGCCGGCGTGGCTGTGCGTCGCCTGCCGCCGCGACCTGCCGCCATCGCAGAGAGGAAATCCACAAGGCCAACACCCAAACCAGGCACGACACACACACTCAGGCAAATTGATCATGTCTCCCCCTCGCTGTCCATGTGTGCAGGTCTTCGCGTGTTGGTGAATCGTACCGGCGCTCTGTTCAAAAAGTCGGGCGCCATCCACCAGCAGACGGGCGAGGTGTGGCCTCCCTCACGACGCGGACAGATCGCTCCGCTGAGGAAATACGTCGAGCCAGAGACAAGTAACAAATGGAACAATGAGTGAGTGGGTCGCACAACACAACACGCGCCCTGTGTGTTTGCATATCATCAGTCCCGCCGCCCCGGCTTGTTCCACTGCTGCCCGGCCCGCCCGGCACACCCGGCCGCTACATCGAATACCACCCACCCATTACACGTATGTGACCGGCAGAGACACAGATAGACACTCAGTCTTCCGCTGTGACACGATGTGTGCGTGTGTGCAGCATCCGGAAAGGCGCTTACTCACGAGGAGTACGAGTACGCGCCGGCAGGTTTCTACGGCTATGGCTATCTGCCCTTCCCACACTGACTAAGTGACTGACTGACTGACGAGTGATGCGCTCACGCGAGTGATCGATCGGCCGACAGACAGATGAAGGACAATGAGGTGCAAACACGTCAATGAACCGATGAGTGAATACGTGTATTCATGCATGTTCGTAAGGGTCCATGAATCCATCCATCCATCCCATGGTCACTGTCACTGTCTACTGTGTGTAAGGCTGCATGTACACGTCTTGACCTGGCAGTGCGGGCGGAGCCATGGGCATCCCCTGCTGCTGTGAGTGGCCCCCGAGTGCCCCGCCGCTGGCTATGGCTGCCGCCGCCTGCTGCTTCTGCATCAACTCTGTGCGCTTGTCGTGCGCCTCTTTACACTGCGGGCATGAGAAAGGACAATCAATGAATGAATGACTCGTATCGATCCGATCCGATGCGTCCATACGCACGTACCTTCTTTTCCATCTCAACGAGTTGCTGCCTGAGCTCCATGATCTTGCCCTGTATGAGGGCGTCGGCCGCACCGATCTTACGCAGCTCAGCCTCCTCGTCAAAGTGCTCGACTGACACGCACACGCACACACACACACATCCATTGATCCATCCATTGCTCTCTGGCGTCTGTCTGACTATGCGTGTGTGTCTTACAGTTGCCCTGGAGGGCGTGCTGTGTCGGCGGTCCGGTTGGGCCGGCCATCAGCTTGTCGTAGAACCAATCAGAGGGCTCATGAAATATGACCTCGTCATACGTCTGACGTACGCACACACACACACACGGTGCAACCACCTGGATGAATGAATGGTTGTTGGCTTGCTTGCCTCGTGTGCGACGGTCTCTGCCTCCATTGGGTCTCTGGGTGGCTGCACGTCAGTGCTGCCGTCCTTGAACAACTGCCAGATAGCAGCCAACACACACGCAAACACACACACACGTGCAGGCAGGCGGGCCGGTGTGCCCGGCTTGTCGTCCTACCGACCCGCAGAAAGTGGGTGATCTCGAGGGGCTTCTCGGTCGGGTCCACAAAGTGAATCCGCACGGCTATCTCAAACTCGCCCCACCCGTACTCGGCCACCTGGTAGGGCGGCCGCTCAACCACTAGGAGCACGCACAATCAAACCACACACAGGAACACACCACACGTTTGAGGGCAGATGTCTGCATCTGTGCGTGGCTGCACATGCACATACCTCTCTCAGGTCTGTCGAATGACGAGTGCAGGAGGAAGACGACCTTCTTGATGAAGTATGACAGGTCCTCGTTGGTCGGCGAGCGAAGCAAACACGTCCACTGATGAGTGGCATTGTCCTGGCGCTTGTCGGTCTCCTGAACAAACGAACAGATCAACACACGAATGTGCTACGCGATACGCCGTCCCTCTCATCTGTCTGATCTCTGTCACCTTCTTGGTCATCATGACGGCGTACGTGCCGATGACAATCGGCCGCACCACGTCCACTCCACGCTTCCGGCGCGCCTCGGGACGCATCCCTCACAACGATGGCTACACCAAGTGCAGGAAGGAGGCGGTGGAGAGGGGCAATGTTATAAGAGGCTCTTCCTAATCTCGCAGCTAAGCTCGCAGATTCTGTCCCTCTCCGGCGTCGCGGTGGATCTGATGAAGGGTCTCACTCCCACACCCTCCATGTCATGTGCATGTAATTTGCAATGATTTGCTTTTGTGTTTGCCAGCGGATATGAGTCAACAAGTGAATCTACGCGTGTGTCGCTGGATGAATGGAACGGCACAGCCACTTATCCACAAACCACAGTCGTCACCTTCCTCCCTCCCTCCCTGCCTGTCTGCCTGCCAGCCTGTGCCTGTCAAGGGAATGGCTGCGATGGTATGACGACTTTGTCCCTCTCGTAAGAAATGTAGCCCCGCATGAGCGAGTCGGACATCAGAGACTGTAGAGTGGAACACGTCTGCACACACACACACACACACACACACACACGGACGGACGGACGGACACGGGTGCGTGGGATAGACTAGATGGACATATGCCGTATGGGCAAGTGATGTGCTTTGTACGCACCTCGGCATCGCCCCACTCCTCTCCCTGCGCCTCCACCTGCCACCTGCACACACACACGCAGAAATGCGTCCGCCATGCGAACGGACACATGGATGCATCCGCTGTGCCTACTTGAAGGCGGCAGTGAAGAGGCCGATGGGCAGAATCTGCCGAGGCAGACACACATCCATCCATCCATCCATGGTGTGAAAACATCTGGTGTGTTTGTGTAGGTACCTACCTTGGCTGAGAGCGTGTTGGGTGGCGCCTTGGCCACCTCTCCCAAGTGATACATATACCTGGCAGCATAATCCATCAACACGCAGAGAGACGCGCGGACAGTGGTTGGCAGTGGTGGCTGGGATGGGTGGATCGATGGCGTACACTCGTTGGCAGAGTGTCTTGTGCATCAGTCGCCGCAGGTTGTTGATCAGCAGGTATGTGCCGCTACCCAGACAGGACGCATCCAGCTCGTCACACTGCACCAGACCACATCATGATACGGAATACACACATCTGACACATCGGCGGCCGATGTCACCCGCCCACCACCTACCAGAGCGTCGAATGAGCGAATGTTCCCCTTGCGGACGGCACAGACGAGTTGTTCAAGCAATGGCAGCCTGCATGTGGACACACACAGACGCACAAGTGTGTGATGTCTGTTCATGCCCACACACAGCCACCCACACGCACCCGTATCTGTCGAGCAGTCCTCTGGCTGGCAGGAGGCCTTGGCGGGCTTGCAGGGGGACCAGCAGCATCAATATTGACCTATGTGTATGGCATACACGCACACAACACTTATGAATGAACTGGATTGTGGCTCTTTGGCGTCGCATTCCTCCGTGTGCGCTCACTGAAGGTTCTTCCTGTGGTCCTTGTGGCAGGTGCGCCATGCATACAGCAGATGATTGAGCGCCTGCACACACCGCACAGACAGGGACGGCCCATTCTGTGGCTGCAGGTACATCCCTGTGTGTGTGTGCATACGTCTGTGTGCATGCCCTGCCAGGCAAAGGATTTGGCCAGGAAGTAAGCGCACTGCACGGCGATCCCCTTGGGCACTCCCTCACGGGAACTCAGCCTGCAGGCCCACGCACAGACACATACAGATGGACGCCATGTATGTGTTCTAGTGGTTGGTGGGTTACCGGCCAGCCTGATCCTCCGCACGGACGATCTGGGAGGCACTGGTGCTCGTCTGACCGCACAAAGAGACAGACGGCTTTGAGCATCGACGTCAGATACAAGCAGACGTACCATGAGTGTGCTCTTCATGATCTGCGCCAACAGCAGCTGGTGGCCGGCTCTCTTGCTGGGGAACGGCAGCCGACCTGCACACACACACACACACACACACACAGACATGGATGGATGGATGGTTGCAGACACATGTGTGAGATGCGTGTGTGTGTGTGTTGGTCAGACCTACCTAGCTTCTCCCTCAGTCTGTTGATGTAGACCGACACGTACTCGTACAGCGCACTCGTGTACTGCAGGTCGGCCTGACCACACACACATACACACACACATGAGATAAGTAGATTGTCTTGGTGTCTGCCTGCCTGCCTGCCTGCCTCTCTGTCGACCTACCTGTTTGGCCACCCGCAGTGCGCTCACAGTGAGACGAACCAACACGGGCAGCACCATCTGCACACACACACACACACACACGACATGAGAGGACGGCACAAGACATCTTGTGTGTGTGACTGTGTGCCTATCTGGCACCGCACCCACCCTGTCGTATGGCGTCGTCTCGTAGAACTCAAAGCACTTCCTGCAGACAAGCAGACATTCGTGTCTGTCTGTCGGCCTGTCCATCAGCACACCGACACATCTCGAGACGTACGCACATGACGGACTGCAGCATGTTGTCCACAGCTTGCTCCAGCCGGCTGCATGTAACACACACACACACACACACACACACACAGACAGATGCACACGAATGTCCATGCATCTGTGTGTGCGTACCTTTGCTGCATGTCCCTCATGGCCACAAAGAGCAGCCGCACGCACTGGGCGAACGACTCGCCGCCCTCGGGCACTGACAGGTGCGGCAGCAGAGCCTACACACACACGCATGTATCTTCCCATGGCCAGACCCATGTGAGCAGTCACTCATTGACACACGGTCTTACGTCATCAGGCGCAAATCGGCACTTGGCGACGTCAAAGCACTGCGACAGCGCCTTGCCATCTCTATTGATCAGGGCCTGCTGGCAGGCCTGCAGCCACATGGTGGTCTCTGAGTACTCGGGGCTGCAGAGAGAACACACACACAGCACAGAGATGGAAAGAAACGATCCAGATCAGCCAGCGCCCGGCAATGCGTGTGCTGTGTGTGTGCGGTCAGCCCACCTGACGTTCATCACTCAGAGAGCGAGTGCACGGGTGGGCAACGCCCCCTGCGTTCGAGATCTGCCGATAAGGGCGATCGTTTACACGGAAGCATGGGCGACCCAGCAGCAGCACGTCTGATCTAGAGTCGGTATGGATTTGCTCACGCAAAGACACAAGCAATCGCAGAAACACATGCGCACCATACGGCATGGATGAGGCGACCCCTGAAAGGAAAGGGTGCTTTATCACCGTACGATGAGAAGGTCCGTGAGGCTGCTTCATCTCATGTGGCTGCCGCGATGATGGAGCAACAGCAGCAGCAGCAGCAGCAGCATCCCTTCACGTACATCTTCGTTGGTCGTCGGACCTTCTATCTGCTCAGCCTCACAGACATACTGCGGCTGAGAGCAACCTGCACGTGGCTCAGAGGTCTCTTCAGAGCGGCTCAGCTGAGAGATCGGCTCCGCCACTCGCTCGGGTCACAGGCGGGGCTGCTGGTGCGGTTCGACGATGACCAGTTCGGCGTGCGTGACCTGCTGGTGGCTGTGTGTGTGATGGAGGAGGGAGAATGGGTGGAGATCGGCGAGGTGATTGAGCTGGCGGGGCAGTGCGGCTGCTGCACGCTGCCCGTCATCCTCACAGCAGATGACATCAACACACACGCAAACAAGACGATAAGAAGGCACACACAGAGAGGGGCGGGAGATAACAGAGAGGCCTCATCCCTTCTCTCTCTGTCTGTCTGTATGGTGTGGTCTAGGCGTATGAATCGTTCCCCCGTGTGTTGGCGCAGCTCATGGTGGTCGGCCGCCACATCGACTTCGGTGACGACAGCTGCCTGCGGATCTTCCACCATGGCCACAATAGTGAGGTGCGGGCCATCAAGGACCAGCCCGACTTCCGGCTGAATCTCGACCCGCCCCTCGCTGCCCACCATCTGTATCAGCAGCACCGACAGCAGCATGACCCACCAGTGCGTAGCCGCATCCGCTACAGGGACGCCATCGGCGAATGGGTGTCTCGCGGTCCGACCACCGATGCGTCGGTGTCGTCCTTCGCCAAGCGCAAGATCCTCGACCACTTCTATGGGACTCACCAGATCAATCACACACAGATATCACACAACAGGTGACACACCAATGGCAGCAGTGGCAAGAGGGATGCGTGTTTGATTAGGTGTCTGTGTGTGTGTGTTTGGTTCAGGCGTGTTGGTGGCGGCCGTCTGGATGGCCTCCTCACTCAGTCGCCCCACACACCGGTGGCCGGATGCTCGACGACACTCAGCTGGGGCGGTGGTGTGCGATGGCTGGTGCTGATCAACGGCAGCCACGACTTCGTCGCGTGGATTGTCATTTTGGATTGTGGGGACGGCACCGGTCAGGCCGACGGACAGGCAGCTCTACTGGTCAAATGTCATGTGTTGTTGTCGTCTGTCTGCAGTGTGGGGTTGTGTTCGAACCTCCGAGGCACCTGCGGCTGGTATGCGTGAGGGTGCGCCCTTCAAGTGTCGCTTCGCTGTGACCACTCGGCTGGCCCGTGTGGCGCTGGGGCGAGTGGCGTCATACGTTTTCGACAGCCAAGTAGAACAGCAGCAGCAGCAACAAGATGACGACAGCGACGATGACGATGGTACGGACAGACGCACATTGGTGGGTGGATGGACGATGTGCCTTCACTCTGTGTGTGTGGTGCAGACGATGGTGGCGGTGGTTGGGATGATCTGGATGAGGGCAGCGGAGAGGACAGCGGAGGTACGCAGCCACACGCACGTCGACCTGCATCACATTCGTGTGTGTGTGTGTGTGTGTGGTGCCTTCGGCAGGTGACGGCGGCGTAGCCGAGGCAGAGTGCGGCGACTGATCGATCCATGAGTCAGTACTGGTGGCTGAGTGTGCGTGCCTGCCGTCAGGAGGTATCTTTGGCTGCTGGCTGTTGTCATGCATCCCTGTAGCCGATTCGTGACTCTGTAGACCAGCTGCTGATGCGTTACCGAATGGCTGGCTTGGCTCTGATTCTTGCGTGAGTCGGTCTATGGCTTCGCCCCTTCTCTGTGTGTAGCCCTCCCTCTCTCCCTCCCTCCCTCCGTCTGTATCTGTGTGTGTCTGTCGGTGTGGGTGCGGTCCGCTGTGGGCCGATTTTGATGTGATGTGCTTCGGCCGATGTGGGACTGCTTTGGCTGCATGGCTGGCTGACCTGCCAGATCTCTCTCTCGATGACTGCGTGGTGGAGTGTGTCTGCCTGTGTGTGCCGTGACTGCCGTGATGTCAACTCATTACCATCATGACTGTATCAATTCACGTACGGCCAGCCAGCCACGGCCAGCTCATTGATTGTTACTGTGCGAGCCACTCAGAGAGATATCGAGATCTCCCGGCGGGAGAGCAAACACGCAAAGCATTCAACCATGTTTGTCTTTCCATTATCGTCGACACACACTAACACACATTAGCCATCCATCCGTCCACCGGTGTGCGCTGCCACCGTGCCACCTTCCTGGCGGCCCTGATCGATGGCGAACTTTGTCTAAGCTTGCATTTGACGATCGCTGCAAGAGTTTTTCCCATTGCAAGTGCGCATGAAGGTCGCTGTCATGCTCATCTGAACGAAATGAGTGAATGGATTGATTGGTTGGCGTTTTGATCGATCCTGAAACAGACGCCCAGGCACCGATGGCTGCTGGGAAGCAACGGAATGGCCGCTGGTGTCATCGGACCAACAGACAGAACAATCACATAACTGCAAAAATGGTCTTCCGATGAACAGACGAGATGGTCACGTGTTGAAGTCCCCATGCACAACACAAGTCCACATCGACCCGCTCGCTCCCACACCCCTCCCCCACACACGCAAGAACACACTCACCCACACATGCAGGCAATCAATCCATCCACATGTCTCATCAACACGCTGCCTTTAGCCCATCACCTGTACCGTCTGCCTGTCGTCAAGTCTGCCTGCCTGCCTGCTTGCCTGTGTGTGTCTCCTTGCCTCACTCACAGGCTCGTGTACCCACTGCCGAAGGGTCGCTTCAAAAAGGGCGCCGCGAGCGAGAACCCCGCCCCCTCACCCGCATCCACGAACTCCTCCGTCCTCGTCCGCTCCTCTCGCCCGTCAGCGTACCGCACACGCGTGATGCGGATGATCTTCTGCTTCTCGCCACTACCTGCGCCGCCCTTGCCACCGCCCATCAGGCCATCCGTCGCACCGTACTCATCCGCACGGTTGCTGCCCGGTTTGTTCTGGTTGTTGGCCGGGACGAAGAAGGAGCCGCTCTTCTTTTTGCTGCCGCTGCTGTTAGTGGTAGTGCTTTTGTGTTTGGGGACTCTTAGAGTCGATTTGGGAGGTGGGAAGCGGGCGTTAACGTCGTCTGTTTCTTGCTGGTGGAAGGAGGGGTCTTCAGTATCCTCTGATGGGACGGCGTTGTATTGGGCCGATCGCCGCCAGCCGCCCTCGTGGAAGGGGGACGGTCGGTCTGGCGAGCGGCGGTTGCCGAAGGGCTGCCAGCCGGTGAATTGGTCCATCATGTCAGCAAATGGAGACGAAAACCTGCATGAATGAAAGGAGGGAAAGATATGACAACAGCAAGACTCCTTTCTGCAAGGAAGAGGCTTACATGCCCTTCTTGAGGGCTGCCCCCTCCTCCATGGCGTTGACCATGCCCCGCATGTCATCGAAGAAGTCAGCAAACGGATCGCCCCAGAAGAACTCCCTGCACACGTAGAACAACCAAGTCAACAGAAGTGGACCCGACGGAAAGGCAAGACGCAAAGCCCACCGGAAGATGGCCTCAGCATCAGCGAAACTGAAGTCCGATTTGAAGAACGGATGCTGCGCGTTGCCGAAGGTCCACTCCATCCTGCTACCGCCCCTCATGCCTCCCGGTGCCCAGGGCGGCTGAGGAGCCGACGGCATTCCTTCGGGCTCGCCAAAGGACGGGTGCGACGTGCGGAAGGGGTTGGCGGTGTTAGTGTGGTTGGTGGTGCTTGTCGGAGGCGGCTCCTTCTGCCCGAGGTCGTATCGTCGCCGCTTGGTTTCGTCAGAGAGGGTGGCGTACGCCTCGCTGATCTGCTTGAACTTCTCGGTGGCCTGCTGGCGTCGCTTCGGGTTCTTGTCGGGATGCCACTTGAGGGCCTGCAGGCAGCGCCACCCACCCCAGCCAGGAACAGGAGTATGAAGGAACGTGTGTATATGGTCAGTTGTGCGCGCGTACCAGCTTTCGGTATGCCTTGCGGATGTCGTCGAGGGAGGCCGATGGTGCCACCTCCAGCACGTCGTAGAATGACGGCGCCATGATGAGATCCCCAGATTTGAGACTGCCAAGGGGGGGCCGGCCCCCAGATGCGAGCTCAGCCTGACTCCCCTTCAGATGGAGCGGCAGGCAGCACGCCGTCAGCACATCCTCTTGTACGCCTTGCTCTTCACTGTCTTCTGGGTGTAAGCATGCTTACACGGCCGCATGTGCAATGATGCACTCACTGCTTGTGTCTATGTGTTCTCGGCAGGTGCGTGCAGAAGACAATCCCGGCAGCGTTCTACGCGCCCTATCTGGCGACCAAAGTGAAGGCATCTTCACTCGGCATCGGTGAGCAAGAGGCCGTAAGACACGCAATTTGCATCCCTGCATAGATCTACCCGCCTGTGACACGCACCAAGGTGTTTTGTTTGCGTTCTATCCGTTCGTCGGATGCCTCTTTGCCCCAGGTGATCATCAGTCTTTGCTGCACACATTCGCTGATGGCAATGTCTGTCGTTGTGCTATGTGTTGATGCAGTGAGCGGCCGGATATGCATCCGTTTCGGGCCGACCATGTGCCTGTGTAAGCTCTGCACGCGGCTCATGGGAAATAGGGACCGACCAGCAGGTCACCTCCTCTGGTTGTGTGTGTGTCGTCAGGTGTGAGCCTGGCGGTGACGATTGTCGGCAACGTCCTCCTGGCCCTGTCGACGAAATACTGGCAGAACTTCGCGCTGCGGGGCATCCTGGGGACGTCATCCATCGTCTTCACCACTGCTGTCTACTCGCTCTGCCCGTTTCTCTTCCCCACCAGACTCACCATCGTCATTGGCCTCGTTGGTAACCAACTCAGCCACGCAAGCACACACACACACACACAGACATATACACGTACATTGCTCGTTTCAGAGACCGCGGTGGGCATCGGTTCGGTGACGGGCAAGTGCATAGGAGGCTTTTTGTACAGTGCCGGGGGCTTCCCGCTCCCCTTCCTCTGCCAGGCAATTATCCTCTTCCTCTGTCTGGCCCTCTGCATGAGATATCTCCTGGCGGCCGGCATCCAGAGCAAGATCAACGCGTCCATCGCGGCTGACGATGCCGCCGCACCACAGCGGCAGCGGATGTGGAGTGTGGATGGCCGGGAGAGGGGCATGTCGGATCTTCTTGATGGCGGAGAGAGGGGTGCGATGGAGACGCCGGGCTTCAAGGGCATCGAGGATGAGCGGAAAAGGGAAAGAGGTCAGTCATCCGATGAGCAGAGCTGTGTGTCCGGTCGGTTCCATCCATTGTGTGGCATATGGTATGTCAGAGCGTGACATCGCTCATGGGCAGTCATCCTCCGGCTGGATCCATCGCTCCACGACCCTGCCCCCCGAGCCAGAGGGTGACCAGTCGATCAAGACCAATCCCAGCGACCTGTCCACCACCACCCCCCTCTCGCTGCCAGCGCTGCAAGACAACGAGGGATACATTGCGGTGAGGCCCCGAGTCTCGGATATGCATGTGGATCTCGTCTGGTCTGCTCTGGTCTGGTGCATGCAGGACCTTCGTCCACAGACACTCGGCCACCCGGACGACCCCTCCTTCTCCCCCACCGACAAATCCTCCCTCCCCGCCGAGAGCCCACAGGCCATCAACCAGGCCAACCAGCAGCAACCCAGCTCTCCCGTCCCCTCCCATGACGGCGGCGCGCACCTGCGGCCCCGCAAACACCACAGGCGTGGCCGGATTCTCTCGGGCGCCTCATCTGTGTGCACCGCCACACCCGGCACAGGGCGGCGTGCCGACCGGCAGTCGGGCAAGAGGGGCGGCAAGAGGGGCCGGCATGGCGAGGGAGCTTATGGGTCGAATGTGACCTACTGGGACATATTGTCATGGAGAGTGGTCATCACGCTGGTGGCCATCTTCCTCAACAACACCAGCTACACGTTCTATGATCCCGTCTTCCAACCACGCGAGAACTTCTATCTAGGTGAGCGGAACGTACACACACGGACGGGGAAGGCACATCGACCGCTCTCCCTCCCTCCCTCCCTCCCTCGTGTGTGTGTGTGTGTGTGTGTGTGTCGCTCAGGCCCCCTGCCCAACTGGCTGTTCGGCCTTCTGCTCGGCCTGCAGTCGGGCACATACACTGTTGGGGCTCTTCTGACTGGCAGGCAGGCGCAGCGGTCGCCGATGTATGCCCTCTACACGACGGCGGGCTTCGTCTTGCTGATGGTGGGTTACGTCTTGCTGGGACCATTTCCCTTCCTGGAGAGTGCCGGCATTGTGACTGATCACTCGGTGTCGGGATGGATCGCATTGGTGAGGACACACGAGATATATATGGGGAGAGATGTGGAAGCACGTGTGACTGTCTGTCTGTCTGTCCGTGTGTGTCATGTGCGCGTTGCGTGCTGTGCAGCTGCTGGCCCTGGCCTTGATACCTGTGGGCAATGCGGTAAGCATACGGTACACGCGCAATCGACCTGAAGCGACGTGTCCCGTCCCACTGTGTTTGCGTGTCAGTTGGCGTTCATCCCGACCATCCCTCTGCTGCACCAAGACGTCGATCATCAAGGGCCCGTGGCTAAGGAACTGGTGAGGCTCAGAGCTCGCCCTCTCCCCTCCCTCACCTGTCTGTCCCTCTCTTGGTCTCTCTCTTTCCTTCAGGCGACCTCCCTGTGTGTGTGCTTCATGAGCCTAGGTGAGACTTGCGGTCCCGTTGTCGGAGGTGCTCTGACCGACATCCTGCCATTCGAGTGGGCGTGTGTCGTCATGGGGGGCCTTTACACGGCTTTCCTCGCCCTCTACATTGTCCTCAAACAGCCGTTTGGAAAGCTGCCGACGTGAGCAGGCGAAGAGGGCTGGGCGACAGAGGAGTGCGTGAGCAATACGTGAGCACCTGGGGTTGTGCCTCTGCAGGTTCAGAATGATCGTATCGGCCCCTTCTGGCCGCCAGGGAGAGCTCGCCGAGTGAGAGATGACACGCAATGATGCACACACACACTTGGACAAGAGAGATAAGCCTTTGCGCCTCGTCTGTCGCTCAGGCCATTGCTGGAGGAGGGCGGTCTCCGTGCTGGTGCTAGTGGGGTTCCCCTGAGCCCGGCGCTTTCGAGCCGGTCAGTTCGGACCTTGACGGACTTGCTGGGACACAAAGACCCTCTCAGACTGTTCCCATACGCCCGCGAACGACTCGGCAGCGAGGTACATGACGCCACAACCAGCAAGTGAGTATCTCAGTGTCCACGGTGTGCGTGTGTGCGCAGGTCGGGACCGTTGGACGCGAGACGATCTTTTCGGGCGTCACGGCGCTCTCACGCGCATCGTTCGTCACCGCCCTCTCCCACCCAGCATCAGCCATCGCTGCAGAGCTGCCATCCACCGGGCTGCTGCCGTTCTCCAATCCCGACCTCCTACACGCCATCACGTCCGTCAACGCAGCGGCCGCCTCCCAGCTGCTGATGGCCGACATTGCTCTGGAGGACCCCAGCGAGTCGGGGGACCTCGCCGACGAGCCACACGACCGATTTGCGGGATTCACGCTGGACGACGAGGCAGATGGTGTCGAGAACACATTGCCCTCTGCCGAGGGTGTGGATGCGCCAGCTGCGCCACCTGTGTTTGAGAGGGAGGTGACGCCGCAGCCACTGCCGCGGGGGCCGAGCATTGGGGGTGTGGTGCTGGATCCGATAGACGAGAGGCGGCCGCTGGCGGACGAGATGCTGCAGTCCCTGCCGCCTTTGATGATCGACGAGGGCGGTGCGGGGAGCCCTCAGAGGGCCGCTGGCAGGGAGGCGGACGACAGATGCGGCGTTGGGGATGAGAGCGATAGGGAGAGGGAGAGGGGAGCGTAGATCAGTAGAATTTGTGTGTGTTGGGTGTGGCTATGCATTTTCTGGTTTTTATCGGCCGATGGCTTTCTGTCAAGTGCATCGAGATCGGTTGTTGTTTGTTTCTTGGACAAGGCCCACGTCAGTCACGTTGTGTCGATATGATATGGACGCATGTGCGTGTCAGCGTACACACACACACGTCATTCCAACGTGCTCGCTTACCGATCGATCGGATGGCGCATTTTTCTGCCTTCCATCCATGCCCTCGTGCCGTGCATGTGCATGTGTGGGGGTCTCAATTTGGAGATGCGACGGGGAGGCGCTCTGCTGTGGCAGGGCTGTTCGCGTGTGTGTGTTGTCTGTGTCTGTGTCTGTGTGTGTGTCTGTGTGTGGCTCTCTGTCGCTCTTTCAATACGTGTGCCTGTCTGGATGTTCGTGTCGGTGTGTCGGGCCGCCGCAAAGCTGCGGGTATGCGGCACGACGTGGGATTTTCATCGACATTCGTGGGCGGCCATTTTCTAACCGCTGGCATGCAATGCACTAGTGTTTCTCAAGTGGTCCATCGATCGGCAGGCGCAACTGCCGACGAGATGACGTGTGGGGCCGACCTGACTTTCTAGCATGACATGATGGCATTTATGGGGATGAAACGAATTTTGTTGTCGATGGCTGAATGGCTGGCGAGGCTTTCTGGATTGACTGGCTTTCTGATTATATTGACTGGCGAGGGAGGCTGCATGCGTTGATGTGCACACATTTCCAAAGGGGTCCGCACCCACACACCCACACAAGCATTGAAAAATGATGTCATGAACACGATGGATGGATGGATGGATGGACTCAAATGCATGGCATGGGTACACGTGGGTCAATGATGCAGAACACGCAGCTGGCAGGTCGGCAAGCCACTCTTTTTGTCTGTAGCAGCAGTGCATGCTTCCGCAACAGGCTGTTGGAGACTCGTCATTGATACCTCTTCGCTATCAACGACAAGACGGCAAGCGCTCGAGTGTGAGCATGTCACGCCACAACCATCGAGCAGCGCACGTGTGTCATCCACAGGGCAATCATCACGCTGCCCGATTGCCCGATGTCCGACCGCGCCGTCCACCGCTATCTCAATGGGCCAGCCACGGCCCACAGAGACAGCGATAGACACCGCTTTCTGACATCAAGCCATCAGACAGCAGCAGCATGGAGCCACCCACCGTCAATGCGATGCGATGCGATGAGGAGAAAGCAAGGAAGGAGCACGGCATTGGCCTCCCTCCCCCTCCCTCCCTTCTTGACCTTTGCAGGTGCGTGTGTGAGCCACATCTCTCTACCTGTCTGTCTGTCTGCTGTCTGTCTATCTAGCTTCGTAATCAGTACAAAGCACAGCCATGCGCGAGCCACTCACGCGCCCCGGCAACCAATCCCTAGGAAGTCACTGTTTGTCGACCCACCCCATCCACCTACCTTACCCGACCCGCACACAAATAGCTGACCATTGCCCACCTCTGCCTCCCTCTAATTACACCATAGGCGGACAGAGAGGTCGGGTCGTCACCAGGCACCTTGTCTGCGACGACAGCCAGCAGGGCAGCAGGGCGTCCACACGGAAATGAGAAAAAGAAAGCGAAACGCGCGATGACGGGCTGTGTGACATTGCTTGCGGTCGTCATCGGCTGGCAATCCACATGAGGAGGAAGAAGATGAAGAGGAAGAACCCCGTGATGCCCAACACCACATAGACTGACACAACAACACCCACGCACACGCGCGCGCGCACATACACCAGGTCACACAATGGGCAGTGCAATGGCAGTGGTTGTGTGTGCTGGTGCAGTGTTGCTGACCTGCTCCCTGGTGTATGTGTCTGTTGGACTCCCTCCGGGCACGCCTCTCCTGACCCTTCTCCTTCTTCTCCCTACCTGCCAAGAACACACACACACACACACACACACACACAGCGTCCATATCGGTCTGCACCGTGCTGCTGTGGCGTCTGTTCGTTGCCTACCAGCAAGCTGCCGTGCCATCCTGCTGTAGTGGCTGCGAGGCTCCTGTCAGTCAACTGCGATGGTGATCTCGTTGATGTGGTCCTTCCAAATCGCTCAGGGGCAAACGCTGACGTCTTGGCTGACCTCCCTCGGCACCGACGCTCACACGTCCGTCCACGTCGTCCTTAGGGTGAGTGAAACGTAAAGTCCATTGACCTTCGCAGGATGGACACGCTCATTCGTCTCTTCACCAGCCTCCCAAGCCGCAGCTTCATCTTGTTTCTCTCTACTCTCGTTGGCCTTTCATACGCGTGGGGAGATGACAGATCCTCGGTGGCATTCGCGCCGCCGCCATCTGCTGTCCGCGAGGCGACTTTGTTGAGGAGGAGGCAGAGGGACAGAAGCAGGAGCGGCGTGCGGCGACATGCACTCGCTGATGTCTTTCGCTCACTGGCCGGACCGGCTGTGCCTTCATCGTCGTCGGCCTCGAATGACGCAGCGCAGCGCGTCGAAGTCATCACCTTTGACCTGTAAGTCGGCGATGGATCGGCGCCATACATGGCCTTCGAGTATGTGTGTGTTTGTGTGCGCGCGTGCAGTGATGACACTTTGTGGACGGCGAACCCCGTTCTCGACTCGGCCAAGGACCGTCTCGAGGCGTATCTCGACCGCGAATACCCCCGCATGGGGCGGTGGCTGTCGCAGTCCTACGGGTCGATCGACGACCTCATGCGTGCCATCTACCGGCGCAAGCAGAAGAGGGACCCCAGGCTGGCCAATGTCGTCACATACCTCACGCGGCTGAGGAAGGAGGCACTCAAGGAGGCTGCCGTGAAGACGGGATATGAACCAAAGGTGAATAAAGAGCAAAGAAAGATAGATCACACACGATGCGATGCGTGTGTCATGAACGTGTGTGTGGTGTGGTTTCGGTCAGCTTTTGGTGGATCAGGCTTTCCAAGTGTGGTCCGATGCGCGTCACGACGTGTTGGAGTTCCTTCCCGACGGCACCCTGGAGACCCTTTCCTCCCTGCGGTCGACTGGCTACCGCATCGGGGCCATCACCAACGGCAACGCGCGGACGGAGCGCATAGAGGTGCTGAGTGAGTATTTTGACTTTTGCATCAACGCCGAGGATGTGGGGGCCTCCAAGCCTAGCAAGAAGGTCTACGAGGCGGCCATGAGGGTGGCGGGATACATGGTCAGCACACACACACATACCGACAGATGTCGCAGAGATGGATTGTCTGCGTGTCTTGGCTGGCTGGCTGGTTGGTTGCAGCGTTCTCCCGGCGACCGTTGGGTTCATGTGGGTGACGATTTGTCAGCTGATGTGGTGCCGGCGAAGCAGCAGAGCTGGCGGACCATATGGGTCACGGGGCTCCGGGGAGAGGTCAGTGAGAAGATGACAACAGAGACCATGTGTGGTTCATTACGTCGACCTTCTCTTGCTGGGACTCTGTGCGCAGGAGTCGCCCGCATCGTCATGGGAGCCCAAGCTGTATCGGCTAGACTCCGACAAGAGGCGGCTCATCGACGCTGAGGTCCGCACCATCGCCGACGTGCCCCCAATACTCGACATGTGAGCAAAGCCATGCATCGCCACCAAATTGTTCCTACACACATTGGTTCATGTGTTGTCTTGCCGTTCAATCAGATGGGAGGAGGAGCAATCGGCCGAGGGGCAGCGCAACATACCGATAGAGGGCGCCGATGCCGACGAGAGATCTGCTCACGCGATGCGGCAGCAGGCGACGACGACGGCGGCACAGCAGGTGGCCGCCTCATAAGGGATGGATGGACACTGGAGTTTGGCGGGACCGGTAGATTGAGACAGACGTCCCGAGTGGAGTTTTTGTGTCGTCTGAGAATGAAGAGAGGCAGACAGACACAACAACCAAGGCCCCC